CGGTTCTGGGAGAGGCAACGGCAAAGACGGCGATGAGGGCATTACCTCATCACAGCGTCCACTTTGGTCTTGAGCTGAATGTTGTTGTGGTGTGTTATCTTGTGTTGTTATGGTGCATTGTGTTGTGGTGACAATATGCCCATTACCCGACTCCAAGGCTCTCGATACGGGTAATGTAGGCACTATTGCCGATGACGGAAACTGTGCTAACGATGGCTGTGGCCGAGGGTTCTTCAGTGGCCTGCCGCGTTTGGGTCGCAGTGCCCGTGCCGAGCCAGTCAGCATATGCAGTGGGACGTGCTGCTTGATACGTGCGTTCAGATGTTGAAGAGTCCTACCAACGTACCGACTACCGCATTGTCGGCACTCAAATTGGTATACCAATTTAGATGCAAGTTGGGTTGGTAGGACATCCTTCCTCACCGTGAACGCACGTACAGTTGTGAAAACGGGTACAAAATGTACCGCGTAGTAAGTTTGCTGTACAATTTTCCGTACCACGCGACTCATGGATAATGAGAGGTTACCTTTCCAGGGGAGAGAAAGATACGTGGGACATTTGTCCGGGCCAAAACGTTTTTCCTTTTTCTGCAGCCTTTCGCTCATGAGTTCCATCAATAGATCGTCGGGGTACCCGTTCTTTAGAAAAACGGACTTAAGGAAGTCCAGTTCCTCAGCTAGTTTGGAAGAGGAGCAAATACGCTCTGCTCGATCCACCAAGTTGCGCACCAAATTCACCTTGTATTGGTACGAACAATACGAGTCAAACATTATGTACTGGCCGGTGAATGTAGGCTTTCTGTACACAGATGTTACGGTACCCTGACTAGACTTTTCCACAAGGACGTCTAGAAAGGGAAGTTTGTTCGCTTGTTCGTGTTCACACGTAAAACGTATGGAAGGATGTAGGTCATTTAGAATACCAAGAAAGATTTGGCTATCTTCAAGAGAATCAAACCAGGTGAAGGAATCATCAACAAAACGAACGTACAATGCTGGCCACAACTGTTCTGCAATCAGTGACTCGCAGTAACCAACGAACACATTCGCTAAAACTGGACCCAATGGAGAGCCCATGGCTACCCCATCAACCTGCCTGTACATAATGTCACCGAAGGAAAACTCCACACCAGTCGTCACGAGCAACATCAGTTCCCGGAACGCCGTCTCCGATATCCATGGCGTGTCAACTTCATCATTTCGGTACAACACATCTAGGCAAATTATTGATAGTCTCTTCTAACGGGACGTTCGTGAACAGACTCACAACATCAAACGAGCACATATGCGCGGAGGCCGGAACCGGGTGGGAGCGAAGGACGTCAATGAATTCGAAGGTGTCTTTAACTGTATGTTTGCAATAGAACGTTTGCACAATGTCAAGCCAACCACACGGCCATTTAGAGATATTATATTGCGGTGATGCAACCATGGATAATATGAGGCGCAACGGACAGTTCGGTTAATGTATTTTTGGTAGCCCATAGAGACCATCCACTGATGAATGTGACAAGAAAATTAATTCTGGTAAACTTTCATGACTTCGTTGTAGTGTGGCGATGACTGCAGAATTTGTTCTCTTTATTGCTATTATAAAATTGTTGTCTCCACGTCGATTATTAACAAAAGAAAAAAGAAAGATAAATGACAAATCACAGAGAAAGATGTTTTACCGGACAATTGTCCAGAGTACCTTGGACTATGCCAGCACATGTTATGTTCACGGCTTGTCAGCTAAACTCCGAGACAAACTTGAGTCAACCAGCAATAGATGCCTAAGGCGAGTGTTTGGCCATGATCAGTATACTTCTATCGATTTCATTCTCACCAAATATAACCTGTATACTTTCTCTCGCCGTGTTACTTGAAGCTGTTTGTGTTTGTTTTTAGGTGTCTATCTCGTTGCACCAGTCCTCTTTTAAGCACTATATTTACACCCCGCTCTGCATCATGCCGCACAAATGCTGCTACCCGCGGTCAAGCTTCAGCCGCTCTGAACCTACCCAGAGCTACGTCTCGTTACGGCCTGAATGCTATTAATTTCATTTTTGGCAGCAGACAGATGGAACATGCTTCCACCTGGATGTCGTCAAGCTAAGCCCCTTTCTGCATTTGTCACAAGCACCAAGTCATTCCTAGGGTTCCCAGTAAAAAGGCAACGCCTGTTGGGAGTTCCCTAGTAAAATAATAAATTCTACTACTACTACTACTAACAATCACAAATCCTTTCCAGACGTGATCCCTACAGCGGCAGCAACGCGACAACGTGAACAATACTTCGGCGGTAACACGACGACATCTACAACACAAAAAAAAGAAAATTTTCTGAATCCCACCAACCCCTAGAGTCACGAGGGTCCGAACCTGGGTTTTCCCAATACGTTTCAACTTCAAATGGTCGCAAGACCGGGACTCTGCCAACCGGGTTATGGTTGTAGTCAGGAGCACTACGCGTCTTCGCCTTGTAACATGCTGTCAAAATCGAAAAACATAGTACTAGGGAGTAGGGGTGGATGCAATGACGAGTGAGATCAGAGATACAATACAATCAGGGAGTCGTATAATATTTTACGACTCCCTGGTATTTTACGACTCCCTGAATACAATCAAGTAGTAGAGGAGAGCGTGTTTCTGATATTGGAAATTCTCTGATTGGCATCCAGCGGGAGAAGGCGAAGAGGAAGAAGGAAGTGCGTCATAGCCAGGCGGAGTCGGCACGGCGTGTCAGCAATGATGCGTCGGACGCCTTGCGTCGTTGCGACACACCATTGTCCTCGCCCGTGAACCTGGCGCCTCGAGTTGGCTGACTTGCCGTCCACTGCCCGCCATGTTCCGCGATGCAGCCCCTCCTGGCTGCCAACTCGATTTACCGCGTCACTGAACCTTTTAAACAAAAGCTCCTGATCTTCATCTGGCGGTGTCTAAATGGCTCCACTAGCCTTGCTCTAGCCCAGCTTCTCAAACCAGCAGCATGCAGCGGCAGAAGTGCGCGCCATCAGCATGCCAATGGTCTGCTTAGCCAGCTCGCAGTCAGTGTGGCCAAACGAGATTCGCCACCGCAGGAGCATTGCTGTGGAACAGTTTGCCTAGAGAGGTGCGCACCGTATCCAGATTGCAAGATTTTAAGCTAGCCTGCCTTCCTTATGTATGCCTGAAATTGGTTGTGTTTCGTCAGGTTTTGACATGTTCCTTTTCTTCTCAGTATTCTCGCTCGCATAGTACTCCACTTCTATGATAATATTGCCTATGCTGTTGCTCATTAGGATTTTGGCAAATTCTATCCTTCGCTTTCATATAACTGGGCCAGGAACCCGTTTGAACTTGCGAAGTAAAATAAAATCAATCAATCAATCATCATTGAAAAAGTATGGCTTTTCACTGAGCAAAGCTGAGTTCATGGACGGCTTGTGCCTCCGTTATGGTTGGATGCCGCCGAGGTTACCAACTCATTGCTCTTGTGGACGGGACAATGGTATTGACCATGCCTTGTCATGTCCCCTTGGTGGTTTTACCTTTATCCGCCATAATGAGATCCGGGATGTGACAGCCTCTCTCCTTCAAGAGACCTGTCACAATGTCTCCATTGAGCCACTGCTCAATGGAGCCACTGCTGTGGGCAGGCGTGTGTTTACCGCCATATTGCCAGGTGTGTCTTTACCACCATATTTATCAACCATAAGTACAGCTGCAGTGGTGTCTTCAACTTCATTCTCCCGAGTCAAGCTCCGTATGAAGACATCCAAGAAGAAGATTGCCTGATGAGTCCAGCGGAGACGAAACGTACGTCGCAATCGAGCTATGTCGTTGCTGTGTCATCATCTATGTGCCATGCGCTACTTGATGTACCAGCCTGCTATGCCGGATACCGCCAGCCATGCATCGACCAGGCGCCAGGCGCGAACTGATGGTGGTGGTGGTGAGAAGGAGAGCTCGGTGCCAGAACTTTGCAGCCTTGAGAGCGTGTGTGGGCAGGCGTGTGTTTACCGCCATATTGCCAGGTGTGTCTTTACCACCATATTTATCAACCATTGTAAAGCTTTCCTTTTGATCTTGTCTCTTATTGTTGTGACCTTTCCACATTATTGTGTTGCATTGTCAAAAAAACAAAAAAACAACAAATGTAGTAGAGGACATGATGTACATGTGCGACGGTACTTTGTGGTCGGGTGAGTTATCCGGACAAGCCTTGTGTGACGCGTGCTCCGTTTCGTTCGCAGCGCTCTTGTATGAGCTGTAGGAATTCGACTGTCCACTTCAGGTTCCACCACCACCACACTCCACAGGCACAGGCTAGCTACACCACCAACACTCTCCACCCCGTACAGCATGTTTGCGTTTGGGCGAGTTTCTGTCACTCGAGTTGAACCTTTGAACCTTCGAGTTGAACCTTGGTGTGAAAGTAATTAGTTGTCGCCTGCTGGTGTGGGTGACCAGGTGATTCGTGTATGGAGGAGCACGTGACCACTTGTTCAACCATGTTCGACTGGGGATAAGGGACGAACGCTGCATCGCAGCCTTTTCGGACCAAAACCAGTCGATTCAGCGTCCAAAAGACTACAACAATATGGGCCAATCGCGGTCATCCCGGCTTTTATAAGAACGAAGTGGCGCTTTTAGTGACTTTGCATACAAATCCCCCTCTAGTGCCGGACGCAGTCACCATGGTCACTCAGTGGAAATGCGCTAGTTCGATTGGGAATAAAGCTGATTAAAGAGAGCGTCTAAGCTTCCTCCACCGGAGGTACAAAGTACATGACATTTCTGTCGAGAACCTGCCAAAACGAGCCCGTAGAAACTACTTACTTGCCACATATGTGCATCTACATGTACATGTACGAGATGAGCGCGTTCCGAGTGTAGCAGCTGTCGACCATCTTGCACCTGAACTTTCCACCCCTCGTTGAATGGCTGGCGCGCATTTTACTCCGACGGTTGCATTGTGCATGGAGTACATGTACAATTGTAGTTTCCCATGCAATGATGCAGCTGTGCTTTCAAACCTTGCTCTCCAGAGTCTCCACCCGATCGAGACGGCGACGGTTTGGCTATGGCCATATTCCCCGGCCTTCACTAGCCACTGCATCCCACCTTGCCTTGCGGGGATCGGCAAGTCAATTTGGATCACGTCGAGGTTGGTGCTTAGAGTTAGAGCAAGGTTGGTACCGACCATTACACTAGATCCTGCTTTTCCTCCCCCAAACTACTTGGATGAAGTGCCTTCCTTGCCAAACAGACGGCAGTAGGAGAGTCTTGCCCGGTGCCGGCCAATTCTTGTCGGATCTCTACTCGACATAGTTCGGTTTGGCTGATCTAAGACTAAGGCCAATAGCCATACTAGTACCCGGACCGCGGAGCTGTTTCAACATCGCGGACACCGTTGACCTACTCCTTGACTACACAAGCTGGAGAACTACGTCAAACGCCTCCCACAAGCTTCAAGATGCAGTCCGATTGAATCGCTTCGCGGAACAACACGAACAGGTAGTGACCTTAGCCCGGCCTCATTGCGAAATGTCGTACTCAGATATCCGTGGGCGGTGCGGGTGCGTGTCGGAGTTCATCCGCTTCCGACAAACACATCGGCTGCAGGCAGGCAACCGGGAGCTAAGTCGCCGCCACCTCTCCTTGTGGATTCACCCTAACACGTCCCTGTCAGCGCAGGGCGTGTGCGACCCGGCTGTACCATCTAGTACAGTGGTTCCGCGACGCTTCACACCTGACGGCAAGCTCCTGATCGGCTCCGAGTGCGACCTACGGAAGATCCTGATTTTCACGTACAACGGTGCTATGGCTGGACAGCAGACAATATGGCAGGCAGCCGGCCGAGAGCTCCACGAGCAGCTGAGCAGCAATCTATTCGAACGCTATTTCACATTGAGGTGGGAGATTCCGCTGCAGCACGAGTTTGCACCCTTGCAGGTGCACACTGCACTTGTCACGCCGGACAGCCGCTTTCTTCTCGCTGTCGTGCGCTGGGACAGCGGGCCCCGAGAGGCACCGCAGCGACCAAGCTATTACCAGAGCGATCGGGTCGCCTTGGATGGCATTGCAAGCATTTTAGAAGATTGGAGCGTCTGGGTCATTAACCTCGCTAGCGGCAAAGTCACCAGTCGCATCGAGTTCCCAGCGGATGCCCTCGCATCGCCCGGGCCGAGTGGTCAGCTTATGTGCCAACTGTTCAACTACACCTTCGTCGTGCTGTCAGTTCCGCACCAGACCATCCACTTCCACCACCTGGACCACAGAGGAACGCTTGCGCGAGGCATTGCCATCGGCTCCTTTTGCCTTAGAGACGACGAAATGATCTACAACCAAGGCTTCCCGATCGATGCAGCAGCGAGTTCTTGCCGTGGCAAACACGGGACATTCTCCACTGCCGAACCGAAACCAGACAGCGATCAGCCTCTCGTCGGCCTGAAGCAGAAGCTGGTGACGTTCTGCTTTCGGCGTGCGCTGACTAAGGGGAATCTGGATGACTTTTACCAGAGCTATCAGCTCCTCCTCAGCCTCCGCATCTCCAGGATGCAGCTGCTGTCGGATGAATTCCTGCTGCTTCGCTACCATTGCGTCACGGAAGTTTGGCAATCCTGGACGATGGAGGTCAGCCGGCATGGCATCCTGGCCGTGTACAACGTGAAGGAGGCCGCCTTCGAGGAAGTGTTCATGAGCGAGTCGCCGTCGGCGCTGGGCCTCATACTGCATCACAGTCACCGCCTTGGTGGGTACGAGGGACTCATTCAGAACACGCGCGCCAATGACTTGTAAGCGTTAGCGTAGACTATAGGCGTGTGTGTGTGCATGGTGGTCATATGACTTGTAAGTGTTAGTGTACAAGTAGGCTATAACCTAGAGCAAGAGTACATAACCCCCCAGAGTGTGCAACGCCGATCCAGCTCTGTGTAGGGTCTTGGTCGAGCGGAATCGGATCTTCTGATGTCATGCGTAAACTTCACACCAGCGCAAGGCCGGTCTCGAGGCAGGGCACCATTGTTTTTGATCCAAGAGTACCCGCGACTCCCCGGGTTCCCCTCAGATGTGTACGGTATTATGACGCAAAGATCCGATTCCGCTCGACCAAGACCCTATGCAGAGCTGAATCAGGCGTTGCACACTCTGGGGGGGGGGGTTATGTACTCTTGCCTAGAGGTGTGTGCTTGGTCACATGATGACGTAATTTTTTTGCCTGAAGTATGTCACTCCCCTTGTCCGACACATATTCAGAACACGCGTGCCAATAATTTGTACGTGTTGGTATAGAGGGGTGCATGGTGGTAGCATGATGACGTGAATTTCACCTGAAATATGTCCTGAAACTCCCCGTATCCAACACCCGTTAGGACCCAGGCACTACCCGGAAATAGGAATTACCCACAACTCAGAATTCGCATACTGATTGCAATGCAAGCAACCCACTCGTCTTGTGCCAGTCATTACTATTTGGCGCCTTTTTTTGTTGAAGAGCGGTCAGCTTTAGGAGCTGCATCTGCGCCTTGATTCATAGAGCCTAGAGGGTGGTGGCGTTCAGGCTACGGATGCGGAAAACCTGGCCTCCCGCCAAGTCTGACCGCAGACCGTGAATTTTTCCAGAGGGGTCAGAAAGGTACCCGGTGGATGGCAGTAGCCAGATCTGGGGAGTACGGATTAGGAGATTTCTACTGTACCAGTCCTGTTTGCCATTCGTTGTGTCACCAAGGATCGTATGTTGTAGAGAAAACAGGCCAAACATGTTCAGTGCTAGTATTTCTTGTACAATGTATGCCAAGTAAAAAAAGTAAAAAGTAAATAATATCGTGTCCGTTCCCAAAGGGAACTCACGACGGCCGCTAACACCCGGTAAACCCTAGCGGCAGATGCAGCGCCTAACGGTGGGGGTGAGTGGATAAGTCTCACAACCACTGGCACAAGTGCCGAGACGACTCCATTAGCTGCATCCATGTACCCCTTGTGCCTGGCCACAAGTTCCCAGTTGACTGTGGGTAGCAGCACGGCTGGAAAAACCGCTCCCAGGCAGGACTTGAACCAGGCCAAGTGCTGAACTGGAAGTGAGCACAGAGTGGTTGTTCAGTTTCCTTGGAGACGAGAATGCAATAATAACGTTACCAAGGAGAAATACTCACTTCAGGCTCTTAGTCAACATCTCTAGAGGTTTCACGAGTATACGAGTTGGATTTAGCTATCTTCTTCTTTGCACTCGTGAAAACTCTCAAGATGTTGACAAAGAGGCTGAAGTGTGTATTCCTCCTTAGAGTGGTTGTTGTTGTGACGGTGGTTGTTGTAGTGACGGTGGTTGTTGTTGTTTCAAATCGTTAGTCTCACGATCGCATGTGACGAATGAGAGATAATTATTGTTGTTGTTGTCGCTGTTGTTGTTGATGATAATGAATTCTTTATTCTCACGATGGCACCATCGCCAATAAGTTGTTGTTGCTGCTGCTGGTGCACTGTGCAGACATCACACTGCGACGGCCATGCTGAAAGTCCAGTCAGTTGAGGACGTTGCCGAGAGCTTTGCCGGCATCCTGCCACTGGGCAACAGCTCTAGCACCAGCTCGCCATACACTGACTCTTCCCTATTCCGCAGCGCCCTGTACGGCCAGCGGAGCCCATCGGCACTGGCGGAATCTCCGGAAATCTGGATTCGCATAAATCGGCCGGAGTGAGTGCAAGTACATCAACACCACGTATTCAGAGCAGACAATTTTCCTCTGTTGTTCAGCCAATTTAGTTCGGCTGGGGGCTGATATGAAATCAGTAACTTTGCATACAATGACCTGTGCTTTGGCCGAGTGGTTGTGGGCTTTCCTGAGAATCACTGATACAGTCCCGAGTTCGCACTGGCAACAGAGAGTGTGTACATTTCTCCTGGGCCAATAGGATACTGCAAAACGGCTAATTTTGGTGGGTAAAATTTTAGCGTTTTCTGAATCTGGACCAATTTGTGATGAAATATTTTAGCGATCCGAGGTTCAGAGTTCACAAAAAAAGGTTGACCAGTACTGAACTGTACAAGCAAGATTTCGATTGGCGCGGCAAAACTTTAGCGAAAACACTCCTTTCGCTAAAATCGCTAAAATAACACCAGCGCTAAAATTAGCCGTTTTACAGTACACAGTGGTACCTGCCGAAGTTTTAAAATGTGATCCTCTGCAACAGGTTGTCACCTGACCGGGCGTCTACATTGACCGGTTTTAACTTTTGCGGCAGCAAATCTCAGTCAGATCTCCGTGCATTTGTTCTTCCCTGTTGCTCTCCTTAGAATGGAAATCAGAAGAGCCGACACTGGGAAGGTAGTGTTCACGATGCGCTTCCACGACGACAGTATCTTCAATCCGCGGGTGTTGACGCTGTTCCATCCGCACGAGCCCCTGGCACTGTCCTGCACGCTGACACCCACGAGCCAGTATCCGAAGATTACCTTGCACGTACGTAACATGCCCGATCCAATCGGAGTCAGGCAGCAGTAGCAAAAGCAAAACTTCACTGCTCTTCGCCCTCACGGGCTACTAGTACTTTACCTTGCACCCTCACAGTATAGTCGCAATTGTATAGTATGCACCCATAGTAGTATTCCTGATAGTATCCCCATTTATATACGAGTAGATAGTCAAACCTTTGCGGAATGCAGATTGTATCATAGAAACCTCTGTTGTACACCAATCAAGAGATTTAGGCAAGCTTTGCCCTCACAACGTCTTTGAGTATATAACAAACATTGTAGCGATATTATTTGGCCACTTGTCAATTCTATTTCAAAGTACCGCCGAGGTATATGGCAGCGCAGCTCCCTGCATTCAAGTAGTGCGCTTCGCAAGCAAGGCAGGCCAGTCATCATTGTGTTGCAGTGACTAGTAGGAACTATTATTACAGGCTACCTCCGCTGCGATGGTATAATCACCCGCTCTTTCACATAGTTATTGGAATTATAGATCACAGTCCTAGAATCAGTTTGAGTGCAAACATTGGATTATTCCCCCTCTTTCAAATGCTCTAAGCCCTTGCCTAGTGTAGCTTACACTTATTAGCGATTTAAAAATAATAATTATACCATCAGCTTTAGCCCTAACGATAGAGCATGTTATTGTGTGACTACATTGTAGTGAAGTCCACAATTGCCTATACAACTCATATGCGTTTAAGTTATGCCAGGTTGAGCGTGTCAAGTGAAAGATTATTCACGGTGTGCTCATGTGTGTGTGTGTGTGTGTGTGTGTGTGTGTGTGCGTGTCTGTGTGTGTGCCAGTTAGTTCGGTTGGTGGGTCTGTTGCTAACGGGCTCGGCTGCTTGAAGGTGTATTGTTGTACCTGCCACCATTGTTGGTTTCAGAGTTCAAATACTTTCTATTTGAAGTATACATACCTGTTAACCATGGACTGCTTCTGGCTAGATTAACTCTTGTGTAATCAATGGTGCTAGTGAAGCTTATCAGATCCACTCTGATTTAGCCACCGACACCAGTAGCAAATATTACCTTCACTGGGAGCAGGGGTAACTGCAGTTGGATCCCGGGAAGGAATCCCTGATGCCGTCAATCTTTTTTCTGCACCTTGTCCTCACCCCTTCACTGAGGTGTGGTGAGCCCATAAGTGGGATCATTTCAAAGTCCACCCAGAGTTTGGGGATTTCAGGGGTGTCGGCCGTTGGGCGGTTCAACAGGCAATTGAGTCATCTTTCCAAGATTTCTTTTGTGTCTCTCTCCCCTCTCCCGGGGGAGACCCACGTGACCAGTTTTGGCAGTGAGCAAGTACAAGTGTGTGTGTGTGTGCGTGCACACGCATGCGTGTGTTCGTGGAAGCAGAACTTCAATCTAATGTAATCTAATGCAGCTAATGTAGTAATGACCACTGTCCCCAGGCATGCGTGACACACACTTGCACGTACGTAAAGTGTCTAAAAGAATGCACCCTGATCATATTCTATGCAGAATCCAAACTGTGGTTCCCGTGTACAGGTCTGTCCCCCGTGAATTCCGCGGCAGAATATCAGAGATTCCGTGCAGAATTCTGCGGCTAAAAACAGTAAATTATGCAAATCCGTCTCTATTCTGCGGCAATTCTGCAAGGAATATGAGCGTAAAAACAGGTCGAATTTCTGCAACCCCACCTAAGTTTGTCGTCCCTACAAATTCTGAACCAAAATTATGCGAAATCCTGGTCGAAAAAATTGAAAGCTCTATAATATACTGCCAGTTGATTTTGAAAGTCACAAGCAGGTTGGTTTGGCTGTGAAAATACATTGAAAGTCTCCAGAAAAAGCAGTTTTTTCTCTCTTTTCTGCAATATTCCGCGGGATTTTCTGAATTCTGCGGACACTACTGGATTCTGCGGAAATTCTGCAATCCGCGGAATTCACGGGTGACAGACAGGTGGTCTCCTTATCCAGGGTTATTTCACTGGAAATGACATCCCTTCCTAGTCGTAGTGGTCTTCTGGGACAGGGGGTCGCCTTATCAGAGTGGTCACCTTGACCGGTTTTCCTCGGCTGTAGCTTGAAAGCGTAGTACAGTACAGTCCATTTCAAAACTATAGACGCGTACCTAGGCAAAAACCGTTATGCCAGCATCTATACCACATAAAATCTGTGATCACTTTGTGCATAAATTTTTCCAAATTGGGCGTCTGTTATCCAATCCTTTAGAAACTATATGAGAGTAATTGTGGAGCGATCCTGAGCAATATTCCAAAAACTATTCTCAAAAAGTTCCAGCCAAATTTGAAATATTTCAAAAACCCTACGCGTCTATAGTTTTGAAATGCACTGTAGTACCAGGGAGTTGTATTATTAATTTTTACTGCTTCAATAATTATGATTGTAGAGTGTAGTGTGCATGTGGCACCCACAATGGCTAGCTGGTGACATGAACAATTACATGCACGAGTACATGCATAGTTCAAGTAAATGTCATGTAGTTACTTCTTGGTGAAAGATAGATCTCTGCTGTGCAATGCACAAAATAACATTCACAAAACCTTTTCACATGCATCCCCTGTTTACCTGTATGTACGTGCAGCAGGTGCTGAGGTGGTTTGGGTGCAACTCCCTGATGTACATGATCCTGATGATTGTACTCGTAACTAATACTTGTAGGTTGGTGCCTGATCTGATCTGCCGCCCCATTGCATTGTCACTGTGTCAGTGTCACCTCCCAAGTCAAATGATAACGTCGCAAGCAGCTTTTCTCAAACGACTTGATGCTGCATTGCTGGTTGACCACCACGTAGATCTACAGTGCAGTCTCCAGACTACACCCTGCCAAACCAAGAGCATGGCAAGGCGTCAAGAAAAACCCCTGACATGGTCAGTCACCAGGTCACACACTGTTGATATGAGCGCCATATCAGTTTCTGCGAGAGCGAGTGTAGCTTGTGTGGGCATTGCCACACACGCGGTCCTCCCTTCTAATGTCTACTGCTTCGTCTCTTGATGATAAGCCTGTGCTTTGTAGGAAAGTTTAGCTGGGGTCAGTGACTAGTAGTGTCATGAGACTTCGGCTTCCTACTCCTACTCCTTGCCTACTCGTACTTCAACTTTTCAAGTGAGTGTGATCAGCGCGCATGCAGCATGCATCCTATATCTGGAGTTGTACGAGACAATGTACCAAAATCTACATTATTAATTTTTGCACTTTCTACGTAGACCTACGTGTACGACTCGTACTACACGACAGCGATCTCAGGACTTGCACGAGTAGAGTCTACGCCTTTTTTTGCTGGAGAAGAACGAACGCGCGTACATCAGTATGCAATGAACTGTACAACTGCTACGGGAGAGAAACCAGTCGGAATCTGAACTGTCGTTTGTGATTTTTGTATGCGTGCGCACCACAAGGAGATGTCCACAGTCCACAGGCCGGAGAATCCTAAACTAAAATCTGTATCAACTTTTCTCTTTGAATGGACAAGGAACACCTGGTCAATGAGGGAGAATTACAGATAGAATCTTCTGATGTCTAGGATTGGAGAGACTCTGCAGAATTTCCCTTGCTGCCTTTTGTGTGCGAGGTGCAATGGAAGGCAAAATGATAGCTGGAATGTACGACCTGGAGGAAACTCTTGGATCGGGACATTTTGCCGTTGTCAAGCTTGCTCGCCATACCATCACTGGAGATCACGTCGCTGTGAAGGTTATTGATAAGACGAAGCTGGATAAGACAGCTCGCGACCACCTATTTCAGGAGGTTCGTTGCATGAAGCTCGTCCAACATCCAAGTATAATTCGCCTTTATCAAGTAATCGACACTCAGTCGAAACTGTATCTCATCTTGGAGCTTGGAGAGAATGGAGATTTGTACGAGTATATTTCAAAGCACAGTAACGGAGTCGGAGAAGATGAGAGCCGTGACTTGTTTCACCAGATCGTCGCCGCGATAGCTTATTGTCATAGACTGCATGTTGTGCATCGCGATTTGAAACCGGAGAATGTAGTATTCTGCCAGAACGCGGAGAGAGTAAAGCTCACTGACTTTGGCTTGTCAAACCTCTTTGCTCCTGGAGAGAAACTGAAGACGTCCTGTGGATCTTTGTCCTACGCTGCTCCAGAAATTCTACTAGGTGACATGTACGATGCTCCTGCTGTCGGTAAGCGTTGATCTTCGTAACAAAGATGTTGAAATAATTCAGTTGTGTGTGAGATAGGCTGAACGTGTTCAACACCTAAGTTCTAGAGCACCTGTTCAACAACTTTTCTTTCTCCGATGTTTGTCCTGGCTTTGCCCCACCCAGATCTATGGAGTCTCGGCGTGATTCTGTACATGTTGCTCGTTGGTGAAAAGCCCTTTGTCGGTGGAACTGACAGTGAGACATTGACCATGATAATGGACTGCAAATTTGAAATGCCATCGCACCTATCGCCAGAGAGCGTCGAGTAAGCTGATGGCTGTGTTGGTGTTGTTGCCTAGCCAAAAATCTATTTTTTTCTCATTTGTGAGTTTCTGATCATGTATGATGACTGAAGCGGAAATACCTCGTCTACTGCCAGTACTGGCTAAGGTAGTAGAGAACCACTTGGTGCATTGGGCTTTCAAAATCATCAATTCAAAGTGCATGAAGCCTTTGAGTACTAGTACTAGTAGTGCTAGTACTACTGGGTTAGTCGGGGCTACAATTTGTAGTGGCTGGCTAAAATAAACTAAAATAAAATAGTTAAAAAAATACCGATATTGTGTATTTTCACACATGCTGTGACATAGCTGTTTAGTTTTGTCAACCCTTTTGAGTTTTGAGTCTGTGCATACATATATTCATCATCAGCGTTCGATGGACATGCATGCACTCAAGCGTTTGTAACTCACTCAAATCTTGAAGGTACATGTATTTCACAATTGAAGTTCTTAGGAAGAAGCCAAAGAGCTCAGCTTTTCATTGCAACAAATACGGAAGCGCTCCGACATAGCATTCTTGAGATATCACACTCAACGTTTCGGTCACGGCAAACACATGGTTTTTTTCTCAGTGACTAACTTCGAGTGAGAGGGTTTCCTCTTGACTGGTATGCTGATTCATCCCAGCATGCTTGGAGCACGTAGGCAGCATAATGAGAAAGCCGGTGAAAACAATAACTTTAATTTCACAAATTTTCGGTGTACTTTTATTTTCGGTACTTTCGGTGCATCTGTTTCATACCTAAATTTTCAATACACCGAACAAACACCAACACACATAATCCAATAGGGAACTGCTTCTCTGCACCTAAAATTTCTGTTCGCCGAACCTGGCCTTTTGCCCTCATACCGAAAATATTGAGCACCGAAAATTTCTGAAATTAGAGTAAATGGACCATCATTAGGGACAGATATCATCTGCATTGACTACTTATAGATCTATGGTTATAGTGAGTTGACTGCGCGTACGCACTAATGTATTTCCGCAAAATAGCACCTTTAGCCTTACAACCAAGCATGGCCTACTATTCCATTGAAGCTACAGTTGCGCTCTGTGAAATCCGACCCAAAGTGCATATTCGGCGCCCTCAACTTATACGGTCCTCGATGCACTGGAAGCGGTACGAATGTGGCTGGACGTACACATGTGCAAGTACAGTGATGTAATCGGAACTGGTCCAGGGGTGCCAGTTTTGCACTTTGGGTCGGTTTTCAGTGAGCACAACTGTATGTGGAAGATACCTGGAAAGGGGAATGTGACCATAATCGGGGAAAGGTGGTATGTGTCGATGATTTCTTGAACCAAATCACTGGCAAACCCCACCTCCATATGCAGAGTTGCACACTCTTGAACGATTTTACTCTTGGTACTACGAGCACGTTGCCATTGGTATATCAGGCATGGTGCACCGGTGGTGGGCTGGCACGAGCGAAACTTCCCAAGCTGGTTGTGTTTCTCAACACAAGTGTATATCAGGTGGTAACGTGAACATGTGAACTTTACTTTACTGCTGGTACATGTACCTGCATTGCTGTAGGTGTGTTCTTTTAAAAGCTTGTGATATGATTGTATCATTGATTTTGTGTGTTTCTTCTGTGTGTGTGTGTGTGTCCTGTTTGTATCTGTGTGAAGTTTGGTAAAGAAGCTGCTGGTCTCCGATCCCAAGGAGAGGATTTCTTTGGAGGAGGTAATGTGCCATCCGTGGATGACCCGCTTTCCCATCAGGCCGCATAGCAGCCTCTCGGTGATGCCGCAGGACTTGCGGGAAATCGACGAGGAAGATCGGGTGCAAATCGTCCAGGCCATGATTGACCGGGGTGTTGCGGACAAGGAAGCCATAGACAGGTATGCTTATGGTTGCTAGTAGTTTCTTTCGCTGTTGTTGTGGCTGCTGGTGCTACTGCTGGCACTCTTAGAAGTCTTTATTCCCGTAGCTATGCAGAAGACGTTACTTCAGTAACGTCTGGCGCTAGCCAGGGTCCACACAGCTTTAATTTGGTATTTGTTTGTGTGTTTGTTTGTTTGTTTGTGTCACGCCTGGCGCTATCCGTATCTGACGGCAAAAAAGCATAGGATGTTATAAATTTTTCAATTCTCCTATTTTTTTCCAGGCATATCCTGGGATTCGAACCCGCACTATCGCCCTACATGCATTCCCCCATACACTTCGCATTCATACCCATTCTTCCAAGTTGCTTCACGTTATTATCTTGCGTTTGAAAGCCCTATTTGAATATTGCGGGCAGCTGTATGTGGCCAGCTGTGTTTGATGGTACGGTACGGGAGACGGTGTCGTATTACCCTCGATCGTACCTGTCCCGTACCTATCCCCTACCGTACCGTGCCATCAAAGACGGCTGGCCACAATGCATATTCAAATAGGGCTTTCAAATGCAAGATCACAATGTGAAACAACTTGGAAGAATTAGTATTTATCGCCTTCTTAGTATTTGACCCCACTAATTTCCCTGATACCTAAGCGGTCAAATATATCGCGTATTTGACTAAGCAGTCAAATACGCGATATATTTGACTACAGTCAGACCTCGCTTATCCGGTCCTCGTTTATCCGGATCCCTCGCCATTCGGAAGAAAATAGTTGGTTACAAATGTACAGCATATGCCATGCTTACATACAGTATGTGTGTTCGATTATCCGGTTCCCTCGCCTATCCGGATATTTTTGTGGAAAACGGATGTGTGCAGTTATGCGAGGTCTGACTGTACTTATATTTGACTCCTTAGAACTTCTTGGACTTAGAAATTTTCTCTCCAACTTAAAAAAGAAATTTTTGAAGAAAGCAGAAATACACAAGATGGGATTTGAACCCACAACCTTGTGAATCTCAGTCACTCTTCCTTACCACCCAGCCACTGTGCTACCGATGCTGAAACTAGTTTAAACAATGATCTTGACTTTCAATGCAGTACAATGCGGTATAGGCTATAGTATAATACTAGAATTACAAGGATCTGTCGTACATGAAGAGAAACTATTGCGTGGAGAACACGATAAATAGATTATAGACCTCATAGTTGGTCTATACAGGATATATAGACCTCGTAAAAGACCTCGGGGGACCTCGGTCTTTTACTCGGTCTATATATCCTGTATAGACCTCCTAACCGGTCTATAATCTATACGTATGCGAAGTGTATCGGGGGATGCATGCAGGGCGCGCGATAGTGCGGGTTCGAATCCCAGGTTATGGCTTAAAAAAAGGATTTTTTTTAAAGAATTTATAAAATCCCTATGCTTTTTTTTTGTCTAGGTCATCAAGGCAAAAAAGCATAGCGTAGGGCCCTGAGCTTCCAAGCTCTCTCGTTCTCATAATAGCCAGTCTCCAGTAACTGCAAGAGAGATATGCTGCTGCTGCTGATGATGATGATGATGATGATGATGTCAGGGGCGTCGGAAGGTATTCTAGTGTGGTACGGTCAGCCATCTGAAGTACAAGTTACTCGTGGGGGGGGGGGGAGGGGTGGCTGAGCCGAAAATTTTGGGAATTTAGAGTCCAGATCACTGTATTTTATTGGTTCACGGGGCACTTGGGGCAAAAGTGGTACGGTCCATACCGTAGTGACCGTACCGTGTCCGACGCCCCTGGATGTTTTTGAAATATTTTATTCTCGCGATGGCCTGGGCCCAATAAGAAAAGAAGTACAGCTATCGCATCAAGTTGGTAGAAAGCAGAAGATTGGCGCCATGCGACTACTAGATATGCTGAGAAGTGTTATTGTTGTCGTTGTTGCCTGAGCAATAATATATTCTCACGTGGTTGTTGCCGTCATTGTTGTCCTTATTAAATCCACCCTGTGCCGTGTTTTCTTGCTTCTTGCCGTGTCTTCTGCAGGTCTCTAGAAGGAAATGCGTACGACCACATTGCGGCTACATACTACCTGATGGCGGAGGCTCATTTGCGGAAGAAAGAAGATATTGAAAACAACCCAATGAACCACTTGGATCTGGAGCGCCTTGATCGACGACGCCAGCGTGTGCGTAAGCTCTCTACGCCTGGCTCGCCTGCACGGTTTCCTGGACCAGACTTTCCCACAAGGTACGTCTGTGTGTGTGTGTGTGTGTGTGTGTGTGCAGTTGTTTTGGGACATACCAATCCATCATTACTCTAGGTAGTGACTTTACTCCCTCGCACCCAGATGCTGATTTTTTTGGAAACACGTTTCTATACTTCCGATGGGAGAATCCGACATGGCAGTGCATTTCGGCGTGGCCAGGTCAAATTGTAGAATATCGCATCGAGTGAATTGCTTTATCTGAGAGAGGAGATGTTCGTGCCCTTGAAACCCGAAGTCCCGTTTCCATACGACAATATTTAGGAGCTCTGCGCACAGCGCTTTTTCAGGGTATGAATTTCGGGTTGTTCTGGTCGGGTCGCAGCTTTGCGGACTATTCCATCGTCTTCAGCGTCGAAAAACTACTGGCCATGTGAAATTACAAGGCGGTGAGACGCTTTCGTCTTCCTCTACGAGCGAATTTGTTCTGCGCCAGCATACCTAAGTATGCAATTTCATACGCGCAGTTCGAGTGACGAGGCGTGTGCACTGTACACTGTACTGCAAGCACGGACTGGGCGGTCGTTCTCGATTCTCCCATCGCTCCGATTCATTTCTGTTTCCAGCAAAAGTCCAACTTGGCGCTTTTCAAATCACTATAACTCAAGAATGGCTGGGCCGATTCGAATAATACTTACAGATTTTTTATGTACTACGCCTGTGAGAATCGAATGAGACCAAAATCGAAGCGATCGGAGCAAGTTTTGGAAATTGGGTGTAGTCACTACTCTAGGCCGGGTGCGCAGTGATGATGTGGGTAGGAACCTGTAGGATGGTGAGGGTGTTGTACTGCATTCTAGGCTGATGTCAACACGAAATCCTGGTGCGGGCCAAACCAAGCGGGGTTGCACGCTTTTGGTTTGTGTACTCTTGCTAGTACTTTCAATGTACTGTTATGTGCATGTTTCGAACCAGCATAGCACAGTATTGCACGCGCAGATTTCCCGTCAAAGTAGTCACGCGCCCATACATCACGTTAGAACTGAACTTTTTTTTGCAACGGAGCTTCGCGTGTATGTCTGCAATGCAACAAAAATCTCTTGAAAGTTGAAACCACCCATTTCGTCCAGAAATGTGTATGCGGATGACCTCACAGGGACCTTGCTGCACGTGGTCTTTACATTTAGTACCATTGCCGTGTCTGTTCCCTCAGTTGCTACTACACATACTCCATACTCTTTAGATAGTAAGTAACCCGTAGCTGCCCACTGGCATAACGATTGGAATGTGCGCACGCATGTATTCAGCTAAACTCTGCTCCTGAATTAAAGTCGATGTCAGTGTGAGCTTTGACTACAAATAAACTGCCGCCACTCACCCCCCGACTCATCAGCGTGTGGCCGTGGTGTGTCAGACACACGCACATTTACCATTCCGCCGCTAGATGATATTGTCAAGTGGCATTAAATCTGACTTGATGGGGGGGGGGGGGGGTAATGAACCCGACAGTGGCCCTGTTGTCCAGCACCAGCACATTCATTTGCTCCATTTAATGAACGATGCCTCAATCTGAACAGAATGCAACAATAATAGGATTTTGTCCTTGCTTTCTCTTTCTTTTTCTTTTCATCAGAACGGACAATAGAGGAGACAAGCCCAGTGATTCTCCAGCCAGGTATCAACCTGGTATGATGTCTCGGCAGCAGAATCAACTTCAACTTGACGGCACTGACTCACCAAGTGCGTCACCCGGCAGAGCTATGCGGCGCGGCGCAGCGGAAACTGGCGTGTTGCGTCCGGTACGCAGGACAACGATGGTTTCGATGAGCGGAACCTTGGGCAGCCCAGGGCAAGCGCAGGGCTTTCCAACCACTCCAGACACGCCGATCGGTCGCAGCCTGCGCCGTTCATCGATGACCTGCAAGCTGCATAGCGTGAAGAGCGAAGACAACAGCAGTGCTCCTCCGCCTACCACCGGACTGGGTGTTGGTACACTGCACTTCACGTTACCGCTCTCATCTGCGCCTTCCAGCAATATCATCAGTCCTGAAGACCCGTCACCGCCGTCAATAGACTCCACGCCGCCCACGTCCGTTGGCATTGCCCCTAACCGGTCACTGCTTCAAATCGAGGAGAGCGAACACGCAGACCCTGACGACTCCAAGAGCAAGCCTGAACCAGCGGAAGATACTACTGATGGTGGAGAATGCCTGGCAGACTTGACTCTGAGTGTGCAGCGGCTTGCCGGCGACTTGTCGCCAGAGGCCGACAGTGACGCGCCTGCCCCGTCAACTACGCCCACTCGCGGAGGCATGTACCCCAACTGGCTGACCGGCCACCAGTACAATCGTGTGCGCCCTGCGATGCCATCGCCTCGATCTGTCAGCCTTTCCGCTGTTCCGCAGTCCAGTCGGGGAGCCCAAGTGGTGCTACCTGTTCGCCCGACCAGTTTATCCGCAACTCCCCAATCCAACAAGAGTAGCACTGGCCGTAGTCCTAAGCTTGCCAGTCTTCCCATCTCGACTAACAGATTTCCGACAACTGCTGCTTCTGGTGACAGCACAACAGTTCGCGCGTGTTTTTCATCGCCCCTTGACAGTTCTACTGGGGAAGTCCAGGCGGGGGCCAATAACCACTGCCGCTTAGATCCACTTTCGCCAGCAGTGCCTCCGTACTGTAAGTTGCCAAATTCGGATAAGTCCTTGCGTCAGCTTTCTGCGCCGGGCACCGCCACCACTGGCCCTAGTGTTATTCCTATGCCGCTTAGTGAAAGTGACATGTACCCGTCCACGTCGGCACCTGCCACGACAGACTGTTTCGACATTGGACGATACAATACGCCCGAGTCGCACGGCAGTTGGAACAGACAGCGTCGCTACGGAGAAGCGGTCAGCGATGAACCAATGAGTTCTCTGTCAGCCAGCATTGAAGACAAGCTCGACGCTGCGTACTTGTCCGGCACGGATGAGAGCATTTCGTCGTGCCTCTCCTCAACCATGTCCGGTTCCGTTGAGATGTTGGATGAAAGCGATATTGTGACACGTTCATGCAAGCGGCCCCATGACTTGACAGCGACACCAACGACAACACCGCGTCCTGTGGGCACCTGTGACATTGGTGTTCGCAATGTCGACACACCGCCTGCAGTTGGCAAAGTTATGAGTATGCAGCGGCGGCGTGCCGACGATAGTCCTAACCAGGCTCTTCCTGTCCTGTAGGGTACGCCGTACCGTGTAATGTCTTGTCTTCTGCTATTGGCTGAGCTATGACTGTCAAACCGTTCAGATCGTCATATTTATGTCTGTCTTATTCGGCCGAATCCCATTGCAGGCTAAGGATCAACTCTGACGCTAGTCCCCATGCACTCGCCATCATTCGTCTTGTACCGCCCACTGCGCTTGGTCATCAATGAATTGTCACTGCCACCTCTTGAATGTTCATTTTCTCATTGTTTTTACCCATTTTTTAACTACTGATGCAGGTCTACATCAGGTCCAAGCTTTTATCTTCTAGTGGTAAGTTTTGTATTATAAATATGTCATCCCTTACCATATTTTATTTCAGTTTCATGCTCCAGATTTCCCCTTCCCTTCTTTTTTTAAAAAGATGCTTAATGCCGGCTGGCCGCTACTAGTACTCGATGTTTCCAGATACTTTCAATCTTGATTTTGTACAGATCTCTCTCTCTCGCTCTCTCTCTCTCGCTCTCTCTCTCTCTCTCTCTCTCTCTCTCTCTCTCTCTCTCTCTCTCTCTCTCTCTCTCTCTCTCTCTCTCTCTCTCTCACTGTTTCTCTCTCTCTCTCTTTCTCTCTCTCTCTCTCTCTCTCTCTCTCTCTCTCTCTCTCTCTCTCTCTCTCTCTCTCTCTCTCTCTCTCTCTCTCTCTCGGCTGTGATCTAGCCCATGATACCCATGTCCCAACTCCTCATAATTGCACCCCTTGAGTCTTGACTGAAATTGATCAATGCACCCTGACGGCTATTTCTGCATTTTTTCATCATTATTTTCTACTTCTTTCTTCCGTTTATTTTTCTTATCGTTTTCTACTTCAAAGTTTGTTGTTGGCGGCCAACGCCTGCTTCTCTCTCTCTCTCTCTCTCTCTCTCTCTCTCTCTCTCTCTCTCTCTCTCTCTCTCTCTCTCTCTCTCTCTCTCTCTCTCTCTCTCTCTTTATCTGGACGATCAAAAGCAGCTTGACTAACTGCACTACTCTTTCACAGGGTTTGTTCAATCTGCCTGGTCTGTTTTCAAATACTTTAACGTTATCATATTTCACGATTCTTTTGTCTAGTGATCAGTCCATGGGAAGCATGTTGCTTTACTTCGAAGGTTGTTTTGTTTTTGGCACAAGTTGATCTCGTTTTGTGCCCCGATTTTTTACTGTTGACTCTGTTCTTGTTTGTCTACCTTCACCTGGCTGTACGTCTTCTTTCGTTGTGAGCAGCTTTGCTGTGGAGTGGTGTCTGTGACCTCATACTCTAAGCCTTCTGGGTAGTTCTTCAATGCGGATGTGGTGTGTGCGTGCGCGTGGGTGTGTGCGTGGGTGGGTGTGTCCATGCAGTGTGGGTGTGAACTGAGTGTGCATGCACCCATGTCGTGAACCTAGAACTTGAAGAATTTTAGATCATGCAACATGCTCAGGTACATGTAGAATAAGGACACTTTTCTGGTGCCGCTGATAGAGAATGGAGAGAAAAACATAATTGCCCTGGTATACTCTCAATCATGACAATATCTGAGTCTCAAGCCAATACTAGTATACAGAGTCTATGGCAGTATGGGTTCTTGATCTTCTTCCTGTAGATCCAGTAGGCAGTAGACCCAGGTTTTCATGATCATCCCGTCACCATGGTCACCCACACCTGCTGGCTGGTGTACTCGTGAGATAATTATGACATTCATCATGACAATTGTAATGGTTATTGTGCACCATGCTCATATTGATCATGGCCTGTGGATATGACACACAGAGTCGCTGATTGATGGTCTTGCAAGGATGGCATGTCGACAGCAACAACCGTGCAGTGAAATAACATGCAGCCATTGCGTGGAGTCCACAAACATCGACAAGCTGGGCTGTTCAAATCGGAGAGAGTAAGTTATAACCAAGAGGACGTACCAGGATATGTACTCTTGGTATAACTAGAACCAAGAGCACATCATTAATGGATTTCTCATAAACCTACTCTTGCCAGAACACATGCGAGTCGTCAAAATACTCCCTCCATTCCATCCGCGAATGGACCGCGATCCGCGGAGCCGGAGTCAGACTGTGTATGAGGTCGAGGTGACGTCGATAGCATGCACGAGATATGAGCATGATCATGTGACATGATTATGAGTGACTTTTCATTTCCTTTTCGCTTTTTTCCTTCTTTTTCTTTTTTTCGATCCTGCATATTGCAGTACGCGTATCTCCGAGCTGTTCTGGGCATTTGTATGTTGTGTTCTGTGAAAGGAAGAATCATCTCCGTCAAAGTTTATTGGCGAGACGACTCAGCTCGCTCGTGGGCGAGTCCTCGTTTAGGACCGGCGGTTATGTTGCTATTTTCGTCGATAGAGTAGATTTAGTGGTGGAGAAGAATTTCAGTCATGGCAGGGGCTTCTGTGAGGTCAACCGGAGGGCAGGTCGATGGTAAATTCAATTGGCGTTCAAATACTAGTGGTTCGTTCATTCCACTCTTTTTATGGTTGACATGTCCTTGCTGTGGGATCAATGCTCCTGTGCAGGCCTCACTATGGCCCTGATTGACTCTGCCTACGATAAGCAGAAGAATGTCAGGGATGCCATTTGCTCAGCCCTGTACGATCTGGGCCTGAAGCAACCCAAACTGGTGCTCAGTTCATGTGCATCTTACCTGACGAAGCATGGAAAGGTCAGATGCGAACATTTCAGACTGCTCATAACCTTCCTTGTCGCCTAATAAGTTCATATCCTGACACAGTGCTTTTCATCCCTGAACTGACGTAACCAAGTCGTTGGACAACTTGTAAACTACATGTTATATTATAAGTTATAACACACTGTGCATGTTGGGTAGCATGGTGAACAAGTACTTGCTCACTTTTGAAGAATCAATGATAGTTTAGGTAGCTTGGCATTGCACCACACGTGTGAAGGGATTCTTTTTGCCCCTCACCCATTGTCGCCGTATGAGAAGAGCGCATGTTCAGTAGAATCTGTGCTACAGGAAATTAATATTCAGAAGACTTGTTTGAATATTACCCGCCCGGCCCCTCCCCGGCCCCATCCCTCCCACTGTAGAACAGTACTTGCAGTGCATACATTCATCATCCACGTTTTGTGCACAGATTTCATACACCGAATACAGTGTACCTGGGTGGTAAGAAGTTCATTTGATTTGTCTCTTGTGTCGCGCTGCCAATCCACCCCGGTCCCGTGCGGCAGCCACATCTCAACAGTTACAGAGTAGCCCATCACAGACTTGTGCATGTGTTTCTGTGCACGGATGCATGTGTGTGTGTGAGTGTGTGTGTGTGTGTGTGTGTGTGTGTGTGTGTGTGTGTGTGCGTGCGTGCGTGTGTGCGTGCGCACGTGCACATGTATGTGTGTGGTGTATGCTTGTGCACGTGTGCGTGTGTGTGTGTGTGTGTGCATATGTGCGCTTGCCTGTGTATACTTGAAATTGATATGCTCCGATTTGTCTGTTATGTACTACGTAAATACATGTATACCATTTTTGTTTGCGCAGCTCTTCCGTGTGTGTCAAACTTATTTTCGTAAATTTCTCCATCATTTTAAGGGAGCCGGGCTAATGGTCTGGTGAGAAGGCATTGTTGCCTGTTGATGTGATAAAGTGAAATTAGGTAGCATAGCTCAAAACGCGAAGACTCCACTGTAGCCATCCACTATATCCATACATCTTCACTCTCCAAACGGTCTCTGGGCTACACCAATCACTAAAAGAAAAAGAGAGGGCCTTGCCCGAATATTCGAATAATTTAGTACAGTCTGTATCGGCTATAGAGTGACCGGATAAAAGAATATATCGGCTACAGTGATATCGGTACGAAATATCAAAAGCAAAACGTATTTTATTTAGTAAAAACATCACTATAACCAATATTATCGGATGTAATGATATATTGGATATTATGATGGCAGCAAAGAATCAAAACATGCATAACACACTATTATTATCGGCTATAGTGATAACTATAAAATGCATGTAGCAATAATATCAAAGGCCCTATTTTTTTACTTTCTTCAGTGAGACTTCACATTGCTTATTTTTATAGTGATACATGTACATGTACATAACAGAATTTTTTATGGAAAATGGCCACTGTCAGCTATGCAGCATGCTCATTTGTCAAAACGCCATGCTGGAAGTATTTCCTTGCCTTTCATGTGTCGATCGAAATAAAAAAATAAAAAATCGATCGTATCGCATAATAGTGATGCATCGGATATAGTGATAAAATCACGGAGATCAAAAGGGTACGCTATAGCCGATACAGAGACTGTATCTCTTTTTCTTTTAGTGATTGGTGTAGCCCAGAGACCGTTTGGAGAGTTAAGATGTATGGATAGGTAGCATAGCAACATAGCAATAGGCCGTATGCACGTTGTACAGATGCACGAAATCCCGTAGAATCCCGTAGACCCGGTTGGGTGTTGAATGTGCAGGACCCTATTGTGTTTATTGCTATTTCCACAACGAAATGGGCCCTGAAGGCATTTCATACGAACACTTTTTCGACAGTGATCTAGCGAGTCGTTAGTTCAATCCCAAAGTGAAGAAGCTGGAAAAGTGATTGTTCGCCGCGAATTATGAGGCTAAATGGGTCAAACACGCATGTATAGCACACAATGAACACCCAACCGGGTATGTACACACCTACGGCCCTAGTACAGAACTTCGTACATCTGTACAATGTGCATAAGGACTATACCATACCATAATTATATTCCCTCCACCTTATCAGCGTAATTGATGGCTCCTGTCTGTCTCCTCTGCTTGGCTTCATATACACTGTATTTGTGCTGCTTCTAATCTCCTTGTGTTGTCTGGTGATCGGTTGTTACCATGAAACTCTGTGTTACAACAAAAAGCCCTACTTTCCTTTGTGTACCTCTTGTGATCGTAATTATATACCTCGCTACTTTTGCTGCTCCTCTCCATGCAGCTTCCAAAGGAACACCGGATCCTGCTGTTGCGTACCATGGCAAAGATCATCAAGGAGACCATTGACAAGGTGCCTACAGATCTGGCAAAGGAATTGGTACATCTGGGCTCGAATGAAATAGCTCGCTCTCAGGTAGGTTAGCCATGTTGGTGTGCTTAGAACACTGATGGTGTGTGTGTGTGCGTGTGTGTGCTTGTGTGCGCGCGTGTGTGTGTGCGTGTGTGTGTTCGTGTGTGTGTGCATGCCATGTGTGTGTGCGTGTATGTGTGTGTGTGTGTGTGTGTGTGTGTGTGTGTGTGTGTGTGTTCGTGTGTGTGTTCGTGTGTGTGTGTGTGTTCGTGTGTGTATGTGTGTTCGTGTGTGCGTGTGTGTGTGTGTGTGTGTGTGTGTATATGTATGTGTGTGTGTGTGTGTGTGTGTGTGTGTGTGTGTGTGTGTGTGAGTGTGTGTGTGTGTGTGTGTGTGTGTGTGTGTGTGTGTGTGTGTGTGTGTGTGGCGGTCTATCATGTTGCCATCTAATGCTTCATCAAGTTCTGGGTTCACGACATCTGCAAGACTCATCGCATTGAGAATTTGACCCCACATGAAGGCGAACAGAAAATGAGCGACAATGAATTTAGTGCATGTGCAGCAGAGAGGTGGTAGAACAGAGCAAAGAAGAGTAGCCAGAAACAACGATGCACATAGAGGGAATGATGAAAAGCTGCAAGTGTTTGTCTATTGTTGTTGCACTACATTGCACGCTGGTTTAATAATAGGTTCTTAACACTTGCACCTTTTTTCCGTTCATTTGTGTGTGTGGTCACACATTTTATTGTTTCTGGCTACTCTTCCTTGCACTGTTCTATCACCTCTCTGCTGTCATAAAATCAGTGTTCTCATTGTACTTCATATTTGCCTGTATTCCACCTGATGAGAAGACATGAAAGTATACTTGTGGAATTTTTCTCGAAAACGTTGCTTGTGGGAGCCTGAAGTTTTTATTTCTAAATGCGAATGCGTTGTTGTCTCCAAGAAAACTTTCAGGCAGAAGTGTATGTTTGAGAACGAACACACCCGGAGATACATTGCATTGCAGGTTGTATGTGTGTGCGCGTGTGCATGTGTAAATGCATACATTCTTGCCTACAGCCAACTAGTTCTGTTTTGTTGTTGGTCTGTCTGTGTGCTCTCTCTCTCTCCCCCCTCCCCCCCCCCCCCACACACACACACTCCATCTGCAGGAAGTGGTCCCGGACTGGCAAGGCGCGGCGTCGAATTTCCTCACTGCGCTTGGATTCCAGTTTGGCGACTTGGTGATGATGGAGCTGCTGCAGCACTTCTCACCCACACAGACGCCACACTTCTTCATTATCCAGACTGTGGGCAGCTTAGCAACGCAAAATGGTATGGTAGTTCTGCATGACTTTTATATATAATAAACCTATTTTTTTGTTGTTTGGACGTTTGCACTTTCCTTAAAGGTGTGTACAATAGCATTGTCATGCCATACTTTATTCAATCTAGGCTTCTAGTCCAGGTGCAATTTATGAACAGTCACTAGGCAAAAACCCTTGCTGAAACCGATGAGCTGTGTACCTTTACGTTGTAGCTCGGTATTTTTCTGATCATTCTCTCTTTCCCCCGATTTCTCTTGCCTCTCTCTCTCTTGCCTCTCTCTCTCTCTCTCTCTCTCTCTCTCTCTCTCTCTCTCTCTCTCTCTCTCTCTCTCTCTCTCTCTCTCTCTCTCTCTCTCTCTCTCTCTCTTTTTCTCTCCCCCCTCTCTCTCTCTCTCTCTCTCTCTCTCTCTCTCTCTCTCTCTCTCTCTCTCTCTCTCTCTCTCTCTCTCTCTCTCTCTCCTGGCTCTCTCCTGCCTCTCTTCAGTGTACAGCGTTGTACCACACTTGAAAGACTTGATGGGTCGAATGCTGCCAATGATGGGAGCTGCGCGGCAAGACAACATCCGATGGGTTTTTGCCAGCAGTAAGTGCAGAAGGATAGCTCTTGAGTCGGTCTACTCCTTACAGTGTGTTCTCCACCTTGTCATAACCTGTGACCAACCCAAATGCTAACCTGTGACCAGTATATCTTTACAGCTAGCCGCTGCTCGTTGAAGTAGCACAAGCACCATCACATTTTTGTACGTGGAGAATGATTTGCAGAATGCGGAATTACCAGTGTGTTATGTTCTGAGATCATCGTGCAGATCAGTTTCTTTACATATCGCATCGCTCAAACGTGTGTTTTTGGCTGCAAATCTCACTGGTAACTTCACTATTTTGATCTCTTACGGTCAACTCTAGGTTTTGTGGACAGACGAGTGTATATCGTCGTTTGCCAACAGTGTGGTAGTTGAACTGCAGTGAATTGTTCATGTCTGACACACACATGCTCTCTCTCTCCCTGTGTGTGTGCGTGTGTGTGTGTGTGTGTGTGTGTGTGTGTGTGTGCGTGCGTGTGCATATGTGTGTAATCTCAGCCATTGCCAGGTTTTGTGAAAGCATCATCGAGTATCTAGCCAACATCGAGAAAGCTCCGAAGAAGAACATCAAAAAGGAGGACTTTGCGGGCGAAGTTTTCTCTGCGTACGGTGTCATCTTTGGTGCCTGGTCACAAACCAAAGAGCTGAAGGTAGGAAGCACATGAACAAGTTAGCAACCAGCTTCTGGTTTTGTACACACACTCCCACTCGCACACACAAATGCACCTCTCTCTCTCTCTCTCTCTCTCTCTCTCTCTCTCTCTCTCTCTCTCTCTCTCTCTCTCTCTCTCTCTCTCTCTCTCTCTCTCTCTCTCTCTCTCTCTCTCTCTCTCTCTCTCTCTCTCTCTTTCTCTCTTTCTCTCTGTCAGCGATCAGCACTATTTTTCTATGTAACTTTCCTTTAGTTGTACTTTTTGGCAGTGTGATATCCAGGCTTTGACAACTTTTATTTGTCCACGCACAGAGGCTGCTATTCTTTACGCCCTGGGCCTACACACGGGCTTTTATGGTATAGTGTATGACTGGAGAATAGATGCTTAGACTCCAGTCAAGTGTAGCAAGAGGTGCGGCAGATGTAGATGGCATTCTATTTGTACATGCGATGTTCACTGCATGCTTTGTGGTGCTTTTGTTGTTGTTCTAATGTTGTTGTTCTAATGTTGTTGTTGTTGTTGTTGTTGTTGTTGTTGTTGTTGTTGTTGTTGTTGTCGTCGTCGTCGTCGTTGTTGTTGTTGTCGTCGTCGTCGTCGTCGTTGTTGTTGTTGTTGTTGTTGTTGTTGTCATTGTCGTCGTTGTATTCTGCAGCTTCAGCTAGCTATAGTGGAGGCTGTCGGTTACATGGCCCATCTGTTTGAGACGGAGCGGCTCAGCGCGGAGCTGGGCAAGATCGTCAACGGGTATCTAGCCATGTACAAGCGCCACCCGGATCACTATTTCATTACTCTGGTCAGTAGACGACTGCGGTGACACACTCTATATCTTATGCAGCACCATGCTATCAATGGTGGCTATAGTAAAACCGGAAAATTTCGATGGAGATTTATTTTCGGTAACTTCGGTACAGGTAATTTTTACCTAAAATAAAACGCGACCTAAAATTCAACAAGCGCTGCCACATAGTGTGCAAAATTCATTTTTTTGGATCTGGAAAGCTGGTTTACCGAAATTTTCACACTACCAAACTGTTGATTTTGGCAAATACCGAAAATATTACCCCGCCGAAATTCCCAGTTTCACAGTATGTGTAACATCCTGGGGTACTTCACCCTTGGGCAGTTGATCTTTTTCGGCAATCTTGTCCACTGTATGCTTCACCCTTGGGCAGTAGATCTTTTTCGGCAATCTTGTTCACTGTATGTCTGGACCTACCCACTACCCTCTGAGAGTCGTCCCCTCCAACACCAGTTTGTACACCATGCCGTGTCATTCTGTGTTCTGCTGTTGTGTTCAGGGTATGTGTCAAGTGTTGTCAGCATCTGTGGCGGACGGCAGCAAGATCCTGGATCCGTTCATTGACGTCATCATGGGCACTGTTCACCCACTCGTGAGTTCACTTTGCTGTTCATGGTGCTGGTGGTGGTGGTGGTGGTGGTGGTGGTGGTGTGTGTGTGTTGTGCGCGTGTGCGTGTGCGTGTGTGCATGCATTTGATTCTGAATCAGACTGTCCGCCGACACACCACCGTCTTCATGTTGTTTTGATTACTTCAACTTGAGTGTTGTAGCCTAGGTACAGATTTATCACAAGGATACCTCTACAGAGGGGGGGGGGGGGGGGGGGTGCTGCTGATACTGAACAGAGGAGTATACCATTGTGCTCTGGGATGCAAAAAAAGATGTAGTATCTTGAGTACCTAGCCATGTCGTCAACGTCATTTGCCCTGGGATGAGCAGTGCCCTGGTCAATTCATCTACACAAAGTGCAGACTGGCATGGCTCTTTGAGGCTCACTGTTTTGAAATTTCATTGTCTGACAACCTTCATAGGACAGCGTCCCTTTTTTCTCATAATGGCGTTCTCTGCTAATATCCTTTGGCTAGAACTCTGTGCTACTAGTGTGTGATGTTGTCTTCTGTGTGTGTGTGCATCTCGGAAAGGTGAAGGGTATCACAAACAAGCACACCAGCATTAGTGCAATGAGCCATGTATTCTGTGTGTGTGTGTGTGTGTGTGTGTGTGTGTGTGTGTGTGTGCGTGTGTGTACGTGTGTGTGTGTACCTGCAGGTATGCGCGCCAGTGAATATGTCTCACTCACAGTCGGTGAAGACGCACAACGAGTTGCTGCGCTGTGTTGCTGTCATGGGTATGTACAAGTGTACACTCTACAGATCTGATACTTACTTACATCTACATCCAACAGTTACTCTAGAGTTGTCTTCGGAAATGTTTATCTGATTTAGGTACAGGAGAATTCTGATGAGACGTACTAGTATCCATGTAAAAATATATAAATAAATTCGACGGGTTCGCGTACCGGGCAGGAAACTCTAGGCTAGCAATTTGTCTGCCTGTAAGTGCACATGCACGTGTGTGTGTGTGTGTGTGTGTGTGTGTGTGTGTGTGCGCGTGCGTGTGTGTCTGTGTTTTGCTTGGCTGTTGCAATGAGTCTCTTGCTGCGCAAGATTTGCTTTCCCACTACTTTCCCTCTGTGGATCCTGATGTGAAAAGACACATTCAATAATGGTTCTCTTTTGTTTGTTTGTGTGTGTGTGTGTAGCCACGGGCTTCTCTGATCGCATCATCAGCTTCCTATTTGGCAAGCTCGACTCTAGCTCGGAGCGTTTGCGAATGGGTACTTTGGAGATCATCCGTCACATTGTCAACTCATGTGGTAAGACTGCCCTGCTGGCCTGGCCAATGCTGTATCTACCCTGTCACCCTTCATGCTTGTTCCCAGCATCACGTACACTCACTCACACACGTGGCACGCACACATACACATACACACATACCATACATACACACACAGATACTTACATGCACATACACAAACACATACACAAACACACCTGCATTCATCTGCTATGCTACATATTGTGTGTGTCGGCTTGCTGATACGTACATGTATTTGCTTGTGTATGTGCGCAACCTTGACACATACAGATGACTGCATGGAGAACAAGAAGAGCTTGATCATCGGTGGTCTGAAGAACACACTACACGAGCCTAGCAACAAGGTGAAGAAGATGTTGGCACAGACAATCATTGCCATGGCACATCATAACTACCTGGCGCAAGAAGGTGGACATCTCATGGTGGAGTTCATCGTGCGCCAGTGCGCCATGGATGACTCTGAACTACCGGTGAGGGAAAGTGGCGATGCGTGCGTGTGTGTTTGTGGGTGGATTTGTACTTGTGCGTGGTTGCACGCATGCACGAATCGGCATGTTTAGGCGTACACGCCGTCACCTGCATTCCCGCGGCATTCAGATGCTGGTTTCACAGTTGCAACGTTGCACAGTCTAAGGTAAGTCATGATCTGCCGAACGCATGAATGCATGTGCTATTTTGTATAAACAAGGCCAGTCGAGGCAGCTGGAAGCAGAGTGCTCAATGCACAAGTATGCAGAGCAGTATACACAGTAATACCTAATGCCGCTGTCTGATGATCGCTGAAATGCATGGAACTTGAAGTTACAGCTACACATGCAGCTGCATGATGTATTGTGTGTGTGTGTGTGCGTGCGCGCGTGCGTGACATCTTCTTTTTCTTGTAGATGAAGGGTGAAAAGCCCGACCCAGAGCATGTGACCAATAAGCAGCTGCGTATGATGTGCAATAATGTCCTGCACTTGATGACAACAACGGTCGATTGTACAGAAGATGTAAGTCACTGTCCTTGTTTCTTCGCTCCGTTTTGCTTGGGGTAGGGACAAGTTCAGCTGCGTATCTTTTATCTCTTGTGACTTATGTAGGCGGTCTTGCCACTATTGACTAAGCACCGAAGCTTATGAAATACCCAACGCTGCCCGTTTATTTTGGTGGAATTCATCGCAATCGCAATGTGTGTGTGTGTGTGTGTGTGTGTGTGTGTGTGTGTGTGTGTGTGTGTGTGTGCGTGCGTGTGTGTGTGTGCGTGCGTGTGTGTGTGTGTCTGTGCCTGTTCCTGTCTGTCTCACTGTCTGTCTCACTGTGTGCATACCTGCCTGTATGCACTGTGTGTGTGTGTGTGTGTGCGTGCGTGCGTGTGTGTGTCTGTGCCTGTTCCTGTCTGTCTCACTGTCTGTCTCACTGTGTGCATACCTGCCTGTCTGCACTGTGTGTGTGTGTGTGCGTGCGTGCGTGCGTGTGTGTGTGTCTGTGCCTGTTCCTGTCTGTCTCACTGTCTGTCTCACTGTGTGCATACCTGCCTGTCTGCACTGTGTGTGTGTGTGTGCGTGCGTGTGTGTGTCTGTGCCTGTTCCTGTCTGTCTCACTGTCTGTCTCACTGTGTGCATACCTGCCTGTCTGCACTGTGTGTGTGTGTGTGTGTGTGTGTGTGTGTGTGTGTGTGTGTGTGTGTGTGTGTGTGTGTGTGTGTGTGTGTGTGTGTGTGTGTGTGTGGTGTGTGTGTGTGGTGTGTGTGTGTGGTGTGTGTGTGTGTGTGTGTGTGTGTGTGTGTGTGTGTGTGTGTGTGTGTGTGCTGATACCCCCGTTGCAGGTGCTGTACCCGTACCTGCTGGAGTGCATCGTGCCCGTGCAGTACACCAACTCCATGTCCACGGTCTGCTCCAATCTGGCCATCATCGCCGCCAAGAAGCGCAAGGCTGAGTCCGAGGAGTATGACCTGGACTACGAGGTCCTGGTCAACATTCCCAAGCCGGCCGCGCTCATCAGCCGACTGTTTGTGATGGCCGGACAGCCGCACCCTCGCGCGCGTGGCATGCCCGTACTGCAGCTCCTACAGTCCATGGGACCGCAGCTGCACGAGGACATCTCACAGCTCTTCGACACCGTCATACCACGTCTCATCGCCTACCTACAAGGTGCAGTGCTCCCTTTATACTGTAATCCACCACCATTTCTGCTAAGGAAATTCTGCTGGATTAGGGAGGGTGCTGGATTTACTAATCTGATTTACTGCTGCAATGTGCATGAAAAGGACATTTGGTTAACCCTTTGTCCTTTCGCCCATACTTGAACCGTACACCTGTGTACGGTTCAACCCACGCATGTTCAAAGCGACCTGGAAGCTACGCGGATCACCCGATCCACATGAAAATTCACGTACACACAGCCTATGCTATGTAGAGGATGATGCACGGGTCGCTGGAGCTAGTTACCATTTGAAAATTTTCTGGAAATCAAAGTCGAAGTTTGCTTGCGCCGTAACTTCCGACATGGCAGCACGCAGGTCGCTTGATGCAGATGAAGCGCTTGTTTGAGGATAGCTGGAGTGACCCGAGCGACAATCCTATGTCCTCTGATGACGAGGACGAACTGGACGAAGCCTTAGTTGAAGGGGTTGATTCTGATTTTGATAACGACGCGGACTATGATGTTGTAGCCGTCGGCCCGTCGACCCAACTGTCGGACATGTCGACCACTCCGATTTGAGTGCAGGATCGGCAGAACAGCACTCGAGTGGTGAGGAGAGTGTACCACCGCCGTGTCTTACCCGTTGTGGAGCAGCAGGGCCAGCTAGAGCGCCGCATCACGTGGAGCGGGAGCGCAGTTCAATCCCAGAGAGCTCCAGATCTCCGTCACCTGCGTGCCGTCAAACTCATGGTCGACAGCCGCGCAGAGCGAGGAGAGTCGCCACACGGGGCCGAAATGTCGAGCCTGTCGCCACTGTCGCTCCTCTGGCTAATGCTCTGTGTTTGTCCAACATGCCAGTGGTGCTACTCCAGGTCACACTTGTACAAATTGCACATTATTTATACATAGGAAAGAACTTGAACTTTGAATTTTGCCGATTTTGCCAAAAAATCATTTTGATACTCTTGATTAGCCACACCCACCTGAGGAATGCAACCCAAACGGCATTTTTAGTTCACAAATATCATAAGCTTTCAGGAAAACATAAAGTGTACATACAAAATATCAGCGCTTGGGAATGGTGAGTGGATTTGTTGAAGTAGGTACCCGTCACATACATTTTGGGCAAAAGGACAAAGGGTTAAGGAAAATTGTGCTGGTTTATAGAGGGTGCTGGTTTATAAAGTGCTGGATTAAAGAGGGACGCCTTTACCTGTACCTGCTCTCTACTCCGCTCCCGCTGGGATATGGGTCATTCCCCATTCGCCTTGTACCGAGTGCAATGTACAATGTACAGTGAAACCTGTGTAAGCCGACCACTTTTTAGGGGCCTTCAAACAGTGGTCCGTCCCCGTGTACAGGTGGTCTCCTTACCCACTGTCATTTGGCTGGATTTCACACTCCTTGGTCCTATTTGTGATGGTTCTCGGGGGGGGGGGGGGGGACAGTGTGTGGGTGTGTGTGGGGGGGGGGGGTGTGGGTGGGTGGGTGGGTGTGTGGGTGTGTGGGTGTGTGTGGGTGGGTGGGTGGGTGGGTGGGTGTGGGTGGGTGGGTGGGTGGGTGGGTGTGTGGGTGTGTGGGTGGGTGTGGGTGTGTGGGTGGGTGGGTGGGTGTGGGTGTGTGGGTGGGTGTGGGTGGGTGGGTGTGGGTGGGTGGGTGTGGGTGGGTGGGTGTGTGGGTGTGTGTGGGTGGGTGGGTGGGTGTGTGGGTGGGTGGGTGTGGGTGGGTGGGTGGGTGGGTGTGTGGGTGGGTGGGTGTGGGTGGGTGGGTGGGTGGGTGTGTGGGTGGGTGGGTGTGGGTGGGTGTGGGTGGGTGGGTGTGTGGGTGTGTGGGTGGGTGTGTGGGTGGGTGTGTGGGTGGGTGGGTGTGTGGGGGTGGGTGTGGGTGGGTGGGTGTGGGTGGGTGGGTGGGTGGGTGTGGGTGGGTGTGGGTGTGTGGGTGGGTGGGTGTGGGTGGGTGGGTGGGTGGGTAGGTGGGTGTGTGGGTGTGTGTGGGTGGGTGGGTGGGTGGGTGGGTGTGGGTGGGTGTGTGGGTGGGTGGGTGTGTGGGTGGGTGTGTGGGTGGGTGTGTGGGTGGGTGGGTGGGTGGGTGTGGGTGTGTGGGTGGGTGTGGGTGGGTGGGTGGGTGGGTGTGTGGGTGGGTGTGTGGGTGGGTGGGTGGGTGTGGGTGTGGGTGTGGGTGGGTGTGGGTGGGTGTGTGGGTGGGTGTGGGGGGGTGGGGGGGTGGGTGGGTGTGGGTGTCTTGACAGGTTTTACTGTATGTACAGTGCTGCTCAATGAAATCCAATCAAGTGAGTCAAGTACGCGCCGAGCGTTGCGCAGCCCTTGACCCGTGAACACTGGGCTGCGAAATGTTACAAGGCACTAACTTGACTCGCGCGATCTGAGTTCATTGACCTCACTGTGCATGTATTCTATGTTTTGTGGGTGACATACTGGTGCATTGCTCCATTGCGTAGTATTGACTATAACTGATATATCAACGGTTCTTTGTGTCCTTGTAGATTCCGAGGATAACGACAAGCCCTGGAATCAGAAGTCGTGGGAGGACCTGCTCCTGAAGGTATGTATGCGTGTGTGTGTGTGTGTGTGTGTGTGTGTGTGTGTGTGCGTGTGTGTGTGTGCGTGTGTGTGTGTGTGTGTGCGTGTGCGTAAGCGTGTGTGCGTGTGCATGGGTGTGAGGATTTCAATGCTTCTTCTGTAGCCGTATGGTTAAGTTGGGGTATTGTTGCTGAATTCCCCTGAATTTGGCTAGGCTGTTCGTGGGTCGTATTTTGCACACTTGTGAGAATGTGTGTTCATTTGTCCCTTTGTGCACAGTTGCTATCCAAGACGCTTGATGAAGTCATGGACGAGGAGTGGATATCAGCACTTGGTCAGGAGATGGGACTGCACCTGAACCTTTACGGCCATCTACCGGATGAGAAGGTATGCTGTATGTGTGTGTATGTGCGTGTGTGTGTGTGCGCGCGCGCGCGCGCGTTCATGCATACGTGCATGCATCTGTGTATTTGTGTGCACTAGCACTAGCAAACACACAACCTTTTTTCTTTTCTTTTTGGTCATTGCTGTTTTGTTTGTCAGCAGGCATTCTGTTCTGAGCCCGTATCTTAAAAAGTAATGTGCTGTGGGAAAAGTGGGTTCACTTCTGCTAACATATTTTTTTTTGCGGTTGCTTTGTTTTCAGAACTTCCTCTACAAATGCATTGGTGTTGTGATGCGCAAGTCCACAAACAAACAGTTCATTGCTGACCATCTCAACCTCATCTTCTCGACCGTGAAGCACACGAGCCAGGTAGAACGAGAGGTAAGTGCTCTTTATACTTCACTCCTGGAAATGACCCCCTCCCCCGACTGTCAGCCTTTATCTGCCTTGTGTGCATTGGACTGTTTTGTAGGCGCTGGTGTTGCTTTCTCTGTCCGTGCATGGAGAAAGACAGACAGACAGACAGACAGACAGACTGACTGACTGACTGACTGACTGAGAGAGACGGAGAGGGAGCACTTGACTTGTGCACCTGCACCTAGAACTATCAGCCTTTCTTCCGTCTGTGATTCCTCTTCCCAATCGACTTGTTCTCTTGCCTCTTGTGTCTTGTTAGGGCTGTGCAATAGCTCTTGGCTTTTGTGCAGCATCTCACTTGGATATGGCTATTGAGAAGTTGGAGTTTGTCACCAGGAACGACATGATTCGCAAGTCCACCGGTATCCTTGGCTTGATGAAGGTGAGAGTGCCTTGTACACTACATTGTAGTCCATGTGCGTGTGTGCGTAGAGTGTGGGTGCCAGTATGTGCTTGTATGCAGATGGTATGCTCATGCACATGTTTCTGTTGGTTGGTGTGGACGCACGCATGTTCTTTTCTGCATTCTATGGTGATGAGAGTTTCCATCTTGTTGGCAATCTTGTGTGCACTGGTCAGTGTCAATGTGTGTGTGTGTGTTGCAAGCATTGTAAGACTGTGTTGCCTGAATCTGCTATTATCTATGTGCCTGTGTGTGTGTGTGTGTGTGTGTGTGTGTGTGCACGCGCATGCGTGTGTGCATGTGTGTGTGTGTGTGTGCATGTGTGCAGGACAAGTCTGAAGCGGACGTGGAGCGTATCAAGAGTACGGTCATGTTGTGCTACGGTTATGTCACACTCTTCGCCCCTATCGAGTAAGCATCACAGCACGCACCATTGTTCATGCCTGCTGTCTCTGTGAAGGATATACCATTGGTACCGGCAGGACATGTGCAACAGTGATACTGGCAGAACCATTCAACTGTTTAGACACATACCCTTTTTTAGTTTTTTATCTAGTTGTGAAGTAAAACAACTTGAGGGACATAGACCTGTTGTCAGTGACATGGTTATTTACATGTATGTAAAAGAGGAAGGGCCAACATGTTACAAGCTTTGACCAACAGTCCACCAAGGTAACGAGATAATATACAGTCAGATAGTGCGACAGCAAGGCACACAGCTGACACGGGTACTGAGACATTCAATGACCTGACACGGTTATTGTTCTACATTGTTTTCCGTTTCAAGAGAAGAACATTGTGTGTGTTTGCTGTGTGTCCCGTCTCAGCCTGATCACATCGCGTGTTGAGGTGAACATCCTGCGCTGCATCAACCCGCATTTTGCCAACGTTCGGGTAAGCACTGCAGATGATAATTATACCGTAAAGTCTTGTATAAAAGCCGCGGCTTCTATGACTTTCTTGGTAAAATTTTGCAGGCTTCTATATGAGACAGGCTTCTATACAAGACAGGTATTTCTATGTATGTCAACACTAAAACCAGGCTTATATGTGATTTGATGGGCCCAAAATTGCGGCTTCTATTCGAGGGCGGCTTCTATTCTAGTGCGGCTTTTATACAAGACTTCACGGTACCCGTAGTGTCTTGTATAAAAGCCTCTCTCATATAGAAGCCGGTTTTGAATAGAAGCCTGATTTTCAAGATACTCTGTTGTCACAAACGCCTGGTTTTTGGTGTTGGCACACATAGAAATACCTGGTTTGAATAGAAACCTGATGTGAATAGAAGCCTAGCCCTGACATCGGCTTCTACAGGAATGTAACAGGAAGCATACTAGCAGCTCCAGTCGACACTACAAATCAAACTCACTCCTTCTGGACTAACCAAGAACTGAGGGGAACCCCTCGTCGTGACCAGCTTCATATTTCAGAATAAATGCAGGGAGTCATATTCGACTCCCTGCTGTGTTCAGAGTACGGTGTGGGAGGTAGAATAAGGATGTGTAGAAATAAAGTGTGTTCCTATTGGTGGATAGTGTGTAGAGTAATAGTTGTCCATTATGCATGAATAACAATAAGTAATTCGGGGATCACCATACAGAGCATGCAGAAAGAGTGTAAGTAATTATGTGATTGGAAGGCCAACGGGAATGGGAGAAGCAGTCTCTAAGACCATTCTCGTCACAAGGAATAAGCCCGGGACATTACGGTACAGTCCAGACGTACTGTGAAGCATACGTGCAGCGTGATGACCACCACCTGGTGTGCACTACACTACAGAAATCTGGTCGCAAAACACAGGCGGTCTTTCAACGCAGCCTCAAATGTGTGTAGCAACATGGTATGTGTCCTGAAATGACCGGTCTCATCACACTCTTCATGTACTAGGAATTGCACAGTCGATGCCCCTGAAGTTTCGTCCGATGCTATAAAAACTAAATGCAGAGCTAAGAGCATAGAATCCTTTGTTTGGATTGCGGGTAAAGAATGAACAGGAGGTCCGTGGTCGCTGTAGTGAGAAGTTATTTTTAGCACATCCACACATTTGCACCTTTCGCTTCAAGTCTGAACGTGTGCTCCTGTAGCAAGCTGTGATCGTCTAGTGGTTAGGACCCTACGTTGTGGCCGTAGTAACCCAGGTTCGAATCCTGGTCACAGCACACTTTTTGCTTTTTTTTTATTAGATTTGTCTTTGTTGTGTATGCACGTGGCCACGGTAGACTCTGTATGGTTGTCTTTGGTGTGAATAGCATTCTTTCTTTCTTTTTTACCTTTTTTTTTGTTTGTTTTCCCTTACAGGACACTGGTGTGAAGCAAAATCTCATCCGTACAGTGGAGTTGATAGGCAAAGCATTGCACCCCGACCACCTGAAGAACAAGGACTTTGTGTTTTCAAAGCGAGCCGACCTATTGGGACACATGCAGGTAAGACACATCTCTGTTCTTTGTTTGCTTTTGAGGCTCCCATCTGATTTGTTGTGGTTTACTGTGTGTGTGTGTGTGTGTGTGTGTGTGTGTGTGCGCGCGTGTGTGTGTGCGTGTATGTGTGTGCGTGTGCTTGTTGTTGCTTCCCGCCAGAGCTACATCAAAGCCGAACCCCTGACGACCATGCTGCGCCATGAGACGGTGGCACTTGCAACTGACGCCTGCGCAACACTCATGTATCCTGCTGCCCTACTTCATTGCCCAGTTTAGCTGTTTACAGTCAACTCCGCTTATAACGACACTCGGCGGGGCATCAAAAAGCTTAGACTGTGAGCCAGGCACCAAAAATCCTGTCAGAAATTTTTTTCGTTCCGACCTTGAGCGTACCGCAATTTTTTTCCCCAGTTCGTTCCATCTACTCGACTAGATACGCATTCAGCTTGTTGTCACTTCCAAATCAGGCACGAACATGCCCAAATAGAACGGAGAAAGTTTGACCAAATCCATAGCCGCCATCGACAAGAACCAAGGTCACAAGAGCCGGAGCGGACTCCTGTTGCACCACTGACCTCGCAAATATGTACGGTGGTGCTGACACTCCCCGTACATGGCACTGCACCTGACACAAAAGGTCGTACTGAGGTCGCACAGTGGAGGCACTAGTACGCACTGCAGTTATGAGCATGAAAGGGGCTGCACAAAAGGAGCAAAAGCGTAGCCTTTGCACATCTCCACGTGGAGACGTATGAACACCACGTGTGGCCAGAATTATCGGCCCGCAGCATGCAATCTATTCCGAAAATGCACATGTATTGTATTGAGGAAAACAGAAAGAAGATGATGTGAAGACGTTTGCGGTGTGTGTCATGGAGGAAGAGGAGGAGAGAAGCAGGTCCCCTGCTCCGGGTTCATGTGCTGGCTCGCCGGCTTCTCGACGTTTACGATGCGTCATCCACGTTAGGCGAGATGCTGAAGGTGATAATGTGACAGGGTTTTCCTCACATTCTTGGGAGAGAGTTCAGCAAGTAATAGTTGTTGACGATCGGAAATTTGAGGCTGTGGACAGTTCCGTAGACTTTTGTGCAACTGTGTGGCCTGTTGATGCTGGCTATCATCGTAAATGCTACCAGGTCACGAACAAGACACTGTTAGAGCGTGGCTCACAGTCTATGAAGGATGTTGGAGATAGCCAATGTACTGCTGCTGTAGCTGATGACAGTGGTGGGCGAAGGACCACACGCCAGACTTTCAGTATCCCAAAAGTCTCTGAAGATGTGCATAGTTGCATCATTTGTTCAAAGGTGGAAATCAGGTGTGGACCTACCGGCAGGAAGACTGTCCAGAAGACATCTCTGTGCCAGACAGAGGCTGCTGCGACAAAGTTGATCAACGCTGCTGCTGTACGTCGTGATGAGCGGATACAGCTTGCTGTTGGAACATGTGGCTTGCTTTTGGTAGACCGTGGACTACGGTACCATAAGTCGTGTTACAATGACTATACACGAGCCAAGACCTTGGAGAAGTTGCGTGCCGGACAGCATGCGGTTGAGAAGACTGCTGATGGGAATGAGATCTTCATCGACCAAGTCAGAGAGCAGCTATTTGTGACCCGAAAGATGCTAACAATGAGTGTTGTTAATATGCAGTACAGGGAGTGGCATGAGGATGAAGTTATCAGAAATGACAAGCTGAAAAAGCTTTTGCTTCAGGAGTTTGGAGATGCAATCACATTCTTCCGGACACCAAAGAAGAATGACCCGGAACGGGTGTACGCTACCCAGCATGAGGTGCATTTTCTTAGCCAGCTGTCTAATGATACAGAGAGTTCTGATTTGGACTCAAGTGATAGCGAATTACATCATGCTAATCAAGATGATTGGCGCTCACAAGATGAGGCACGAATTTTGTACCACGCGGCAATCATTTTGAGAGCGAAGATCCGTGACCATGTGAAGTCAGCTCCCAAATCTGCATGGCCTCCTTCGCCCGAGGCGAACCTGTCCACGGCCAACGGTGATGAGCATATTCCACCACACCTCCACAACTTCTTGGCAATCTTAAGCAGCGATCAGTACGATGGGCACGTATCGTCCAGGAAGGTCAATATCACTGATCAGCATGTCAAGCGCCAGATATGGTCAACTGCACAGGACATTGTGCATATATGTACGCCTGCTCGACCACCAAAGCATGTGGCGTTAGCTGTCGCTCTTCACCACATGTTCCGAAGCTATCGCCTGATCCGCATGCTGAATCGGCTTGGTCACTGCATTTCCTATGCCCAAGTACTGGAAATAGAAACGGCAGTGGCTGAAAAGCATGTTCACGAGCAGCAAGACATGGCATATCTCCCTGGTAATATCAACCCGAGCTATCCCTTTCATTTCGTCTGGGATAATAATGATCTTAATGAGGAAACATTGTCAGGTGCGGGCACAACCCATTGCACTAATGGAATTGTTGTGCAGCGCGGAGCAACAGTGGAGTTGTCCAATAGTGCTGACACTGGAAGGGTGCTCAATACCCCATCATTTTGCCCTCAGAAGCGGAGACGATCTGCGGTGGTACTGCCAACAGCGCTGCCACAGTCAATCACGATGGCAAAATGCAACCCGCCACCTATCTCAAGCGGCAGTGTCACCATTGCATCAGTGAGCTCTGCTATCCATGCCTCCGCCCAGCTCCAGGATATCCTTTGGGCCCTGGCACGTCTAGACAGTGATGTCTTCCAGCCAAACGCCACTGTGGAATCCGATGACCGTATGGAGCAGGAGCAAACAGTACCTGCCTGGTCCGCATTCAATGCTCTGCTCTGCAAGTCAAACATCCCCGCCAAATGTACAGTTGGATACTGCCCTGTCATCAACAGTTCGCCCACAGAGATGTCCACTGTTTACTCAGTACTCTGTCAGTCCATGAACATGGCGAGGCTTGCTGGGTTGAACTTCACTATAATCGTGTTCGACCAAGCAATTTATGCCAAGGCGGTAGATCTGGTCCTGCAAAGACCAACAGAGTTCAAGCCGATTGTCCTGCGCCTTGGTGGTTTCCACATCAGCCTGACGTTCCTTGCTGTCCTGGGCAAGCGATTTAAGGATGCCGGTTTGGCTGATGTTTTGATTGAATCCACTGTGGGTGGATCATCATCAGTTCAGTCAGCCTTAGATGGTCGCCACTACAACCGAGCAGTGCGGATGCATAAGCTTGTGGCCGAGTCGTTGGTGCGGATGAGATGGAGAGCCTTCTTGAGCACATTGGAACCAAGTGTTCTTCTGGAGTACAGCCAAGAGATTGCTGACGGCATGAAGGAATTGCAGCAGCATATCAATGCTGACAATGCCGATCGTCTTCTAGATTCAGAAGAATTCAGGTCCATCTATCGCCTGTATAATGAGTTCTGTGACGCACAAGCAGAATCATCCCCAATGTTTAAATTCTGGTCCTCCTACATTGACCTGGTGTTCCTGCTTCTGAGATTCATTCGGTCCTGCAGATCTGCAGACTGGGCGCTGCATCTATCGTGCATCCAGCAGATGTTGCCCTGGTTTTTCGCCTATGACAGGCCTAACTACGCTCGGTATGGAACGCTGTACTGGATACAGATGACCAGCCTACCGGAATCCAACCCTGCAGCATCGAAGTATCTCGCAGATGGTGGATTTGTGGTTCAACGGTCACTCAACTCCTTTGCCCAGGTACCGTCTGATCTCGCTATTGAGCAATCGATAAACCGGTCTTCAAAGACTCAAGGAGGTGTTGTAGGCTGCAGCCGCAACCCAGCTGCTGTTCAGCGCTGGGTTATGACCGCCCACGACCGGGCCAAGATGGCAGAGATGTCACTTCAGCACTGTGGTCTGGACGAGGGAAGCTTGGAGAGCGAGTACATCCACAAAGAGTGCCATGAGACTCGGATGAGAGAGGACGAACGGCACGTGCATCAGCTAGAATCCACGTTTCACAGTTGGGTGGATCCATTCTCCAGTGACAGCACCGACCTTGTGAATGTGGCATCTGGGCTATCCTGCGGGAAATCTGCTCAACAAGACCTCCCCGGAGCCCAAGAGCGTGGCTGTAAAGCATTGGAAGCCTTTGTGGAGGAGCGCCTTGTCTCAGGACAGAAGAAATTTCATGATCCACTTCCGAAGCTCAAGCTGCAAACATTCACCGTAGTCAAGAAAAGTAGCACAAGCCAGTCGTCAAAGGCAATGTCAAGCCTGCGAGCTGACCGGGCACTGTTCGCAAGAATGGTCGTCATTGCACAGACCCGGCAAATGAACATGCGTGATGTCCTCTGCTATCCCCTTGGTCCTCTGCCATTGGCCATTGCAACTCACGATGGCTCACCTGTCAAGACGGCAAAGTCTCAGCTGCTGAAACTTGTTGGCGAGATACCTGCCACGCTGCCGCTTTCCAGTACATCAGCAGCCGTGATGATTGATGCGATGGCATTGCTTCGCTCTATCCGACCAGGTGCCATTCCCGCGACATTTGGTGAGCTTGCAACAACCATCTTCAACTCCGTAACTAGCTACTTCCAGCACTATCGCCGCGTGGACTTCGTTGCCGATACGTATCCGGAAAACTCAATCAAGGATGTAGAACGAATGCAGCGTGCGTCTAGTCATGGAGAACTCAGGCAACATATAACCAGCTCGTCTCAGAAAACACCGGCACAATGGTCAAAGTTCCTGTCAGTCGGCACAAATAAGTCTGAGCTCATTCGCTTCCTGGCAAAAGAATGGTGTACCGAGAAGTATGCAGTCCCGCTGAATGGTTTGCTCTATGTAACCGTGGGAGAGAAGTGTGTTTTGTTTACTGCCAGTGAAAGCGGCAGTGCTGTTGTTTCTACGGAGTGTTCAGCACTGTTCTGCTCACATGAGGAAGCTGATACTCGTCTCATTCTCCATACTAAACATGCTTCCGATTCTGGTTTTGATGTAGTCGCTATCAAATCTTCTGACACCGACGTAGCCATCCTAGCGCTATGCTTCAGCCACACAATACGCGCCAAGGTCCTTCTGATATCTGGCAAGGCTAGTGCCATCAGAATTACCAACGCTACCAGCACAGCCTCCAACCTAGGATCAGAGGTATGCAGCGCTCTTCTTGGCATGCACTCCCTCACTGGTTGTGATACCACCTCTGCATTCTCTGGCAAGGGGAAGAAGGCCGCATTTGATATCATTCGTAATACAGGAGCAACTGGCAGCAGGGCACGTGAAGCTGTGAAGGAAATTGGCAAGGCATTTCAGCTGAGTAAAGAAGCCCTCTTGGAGATTGAATGGTTTGTTTGCACACTCTATGGCCGCCCAGAGTGTGGAAGTATCAATGTGGCAAGGTACGAGTTGTTCTGCAAATCAAAGTCAGCTTCTAATCAGCTGCCCCCCTGCCAGGATGCTCTGATTCGTCACATCAGAAGAGCCAACTATCAGGCTGGTGTTTGGCGCCGGAGTTTGGAAGCCACACCAGATGTACCACCTTCATTTAGCAATAATGGGTGGTTGCTAGTGAATGGAAAGTTGGAGATCGACTGGCTTAGTTTGCCACCTGCACCACAATGTCTACTTGAATTCGTGAGCTGTGGCTGCAAGAAGGGTTGCAGCACCAGGTCTTGTTCCTGTATCCGGCAAAGCCTTCGGTGCACAGATGCTTGCCACTGCAATGATTGCACCAACGTCACAGTAACTGGGAGTGCTGATGCTGCTGGCCAATCGGATGCAGAAGAGTAAACAACATGCCAGGTAGGTGATATTCAGCTTCTATGCTTTTTAGTTTCTGGATTTACATTGCACGCAATGCAATACAGTGCATAGATATGTTGTGAGTCTTGTGACAAATGTATGAGACATGGAATGTTGCACTTTAACAGGAATTCAGAGTAACTGCCTGACAGAAAATGTCCCCTGCAATCAAACACAGCTGCATCATGACGATGTTTTTTGTTGTGGTTTCTATTGTGTGCAGTGCAGTGGCAGTACGAACATCATCATGTCCATCAGTGTGCTTGCTGCTGATCAGTCAAGCTAAACTAAAGGTTTTGTAATCTGTTGCAGCAGAAATAGAACGTACATGTACAATGTACCTTATCTCCGGAGAGCTAATACATATAACTGTTTCAATCTTTCATACTGAAGTACTTCAGAATTAACATTAATAGGCATGTACCTTTCCGCTTGTGCTCTCTACGTACAATGGGTAATGTTTCGAAAGAATTATAATGCAACTAAACTACAGATCTGTATCTACCGGTATACACACTGTGGTCCTCTAACGTTACGGCCATTGCTCTACCCTTTGCACTTATAAGTTAAGAAGCAATACAGCAGTGCTTACGGAGTAACGTTACATTGATCAGTTATATGAGTGCAAATATACAAATCCTGTATCCAGCAACTTCTTTAACATTGTTCTGCCATATTGTACATGATTATATTATAGAGATGTAGAGGTGTAATGAGCATTGCACCGGATTAAACCAGATTCTCCTGGTTGTTGTTGATGATCTTTTCCAACCCGGCGTTGTCCGGAGAATTCGCTGCTGCTGGGCTTTTGTATATTGAATGCCTGTTTGTTCTATACATTATCATTGCTGAAATGCATTTCGCGGCTGTCGCCACCATTTCATGTGCACTTACCTACCAGTGCATCGTCACTTCGAGTAATATTTAAAATGTGCGCCTACTTTATACAATGTAGTTCTGCCTAATTCTATTTTGGCCCATTTTGGCTCATTTTGGCTCATATAGTTATCTTAATCCAGCTGCAATGACGCTTGACCTATACATTTCGTCGTCCAGTGCCGTTGCCTGTTGAAAAAAGTAAGAAACACCTTCAAAATAGCATGTTGCTATGTTAGTTGCTATGCAGTTGCTATGGAAACGGGGTATGTTATCATAATTGCTTATTTTGACTTCCCTGCAAGCTTCCCAAACTGACAACAATCAAAAATGATCTTCTATTAGGTCTCTCCACATGATAAAAGAAAAAAATCGCGGTACACCCAAAGTGGGAACGAAAATCATGAATTCATGCACTTGGCTCACAGTCTAGCTGTCCTTATTTGCGAAGTGTCGTTATACCCGAAGTCTCATTATATGTATTACAGTGGGATGGGACTTTGCTCTGGGCATGGACGTTCTGTCGTTATTAGCGAATTGTCGTTATATCCGCAGTCGTTATTAGCGAAGTTGACAGTATACCTGCTTACACACTGTATTAGCCCGGGACCTGGGGGGAAGGAGCAGTCTATAGAGTAGTTTCACAGCTTGGTCATGTGACTGCATTTGTGTACAAACTGTACATGATGATGCGATGCAGACCGCGGAACCAACATGGCCGACATCATGTGACCCATTGCTGCAGGTATTCACAGGTGTTGGAACCAACATGGCTGTCCCGTATGGCCGTGTGACCTATGCGTAACAGCTCTACTATTCGTAACGTCTTCTGCATAGCTACGGGAATTAAACTAAGTTCCCAAGCCGTACAATGTACTTGTTTTTGAGTGTATGTGCCAGTGTTATCTCAATGTCCCAACATGTGTAGCTCCTTAACTCGTACCCTGTCACAGTAAGCTGGAGCCTCGCTTGTCTGAGGCGGACGAGTTTGAGCTGATCCGCATCTGCACGGACGCCCTATTCAGGCTGCCGTCGGTCGTGACCGCAGAGAAGCCCAGGGAGAAGGAGAAAGGTGGCGCCGACCTGTCGCAGGCCGCACTACAGGAGAGCGAACAGCTGATGGAGAAGAGCCTGGTGTGCCTCAAGCGCCTCCTCTGTCAGCTGCTGCTCAAGGACGTGACGGCCGAGGGACTGCAGCGCATCTACAAGGTAAGACGTGTAAAGATGCTGTTCAGAGCACTCACTACATCTAGCCTCTATCCGTAGCGAAATGTAGTCGATTCCGCTTTCGGTGTACTTGCACCTTGCAAACTTTGTTATACTGTAATTATGGGGAATCATTTTAGGTGTATGGTGTTGAGTTTTTTTTTACACCTGTGGAGTTGTATTGATCACATATGTCGTCATTGTGTGTAGGTAGTGTGATTTCTGTTATAAAGAACTGATTCTCCTGTGTTAAAGTGTTGACTACAATCATCAGAAGTCAACTGTATCTGAAACCACTGTGCATGCAGTTGCTGTTCTGATCCTACCGGGGCTTGTGGAGTACGTTAGTAGCTGTGAACTGGTCACATATAATTGCTAGTTTTGTGACGGATGGCGGATGGATGAATTCAAAACGTTTTGCTTGGTTCTAATAGTGCGTGTACATGCCCTGTGTTTGTGTGTGTGTGCTTGTGCTTGTGTTTTCTAAAGCATTTGGAACCGTTCATCACGTCTGCTCGCTCTCACGAGCGCCTGCGTTCCATCGACGTATGCGTGTCCACGCTGGAGTTCTTCTACGAGAAGCTGGAAGTGCCCGCTGACTCGAATGCGGTGAGGCCAGCGTGATGGAAAGCATTTGCAAGTGTTTGTTTGCACACGTCATCATGCATGACGCTTACAGGAGTGTGCCTGGCGCACGCCACATGATGCTGCCGTGTGATTCCTGTGCGCACTCCGTTAGTATGTGATGATTTTCCACGCGGGGTTTCTTCCGTATACTAGTTTAGCAGTTGTGGTGCAAGCGCACATCCTGCGGACCTGCTTGCCCTACAGTGGTGTTTCGTGACTGTCCCTTACGTACATGTAGCGTTGGCATGCATTGTGTTGATCAGCACCTCCGCATAAACACGGATTACATCATTCTAGTAGTGCTATGGAGTCCAGTAAACCTTTTGAATAACGACCTCAATCGTACGTGCGAAAGATGTCATTATTCGTGAGCTTTTGTCACTTGTGTCGTTGAAAGCACGCAGCAGTCAATGGTCACTAGGCCTCAAGATTGTGTTGTTATTTGCGAGTTGTTGCTGTACCCGAGGTTGTCTGTATCTTGATTGGACTGCCTGTTACGCACCAGCCAGGGGCATAGGGAGAACATTGGTGTTAGGGGTTCACCATTGCTGCATTCCGTTGCATGCGGATCTGCAACTAGTACTGCACAGGAGTGCACGTGTATAAAGAACTACTAGTGCCGATGCATGTGTTAAACAGTTAACACTGTCATCATTGTATTGCCTTGCAGGCTCAGTTCTTCAACTTGCCCAGCATTCTGGCACGCTTTGGTCCGCGCTGCTCTGACGAGAGCCTGCCCGTGAGACAGTTTGCCGTGCAGGGCATCAAGTGCACGCTGAAGATTGCTGGCCTGTATGACGGTGAGTTTGAGAAGGGAGATCTAGTAATCATATACATGTACATGTGTCTCAGCGCCATGTGTGGGCGTAGTAGATGATGAATTCTGGTGCTGTAAGTCTACACATTTTCGGCCCATTCCATTTCGGCCTCCCAGGGCTAAAACCTATTTCGGCCGCATCAAATTTTCGGCCTGAACTGGGGCTGCCTGTATTCACTGCCACGCTGAACCTTGCAAAACAAAATTTCGGCAGCACCAAATTTTCGGCCAAACATGGCCAGGCCGAAAAGAGCCGAAAATAAATCTGCGCCGACTATTTGTTGCCTTACAGTACCTGTGCACATGTATCGGAAGCAGAGAGTTGCACCTCTAACTACTGTCTAGTATAGCTAGCTGACGGATGTGGTTGTAGTGCAGTTTTGAACTACAGTCCGACCCCGCTTATCCGGTCCTCTTTTATCCGGATCCCTTGTCATCCGGACGAAAACCGTTGGTTACCGATTTACAGCATATGCCATGCATACATACAGTATGTGTGTTCGATTATCCGGTCCCCTCGCCTATCCGGATATTTTTGTGGGAAACGGACGTGTGCGGTTATGCGAGGTCTGACTGTAATCGACTTTATTCACTAAACTATGCTGTTGTGTGATCGTAGGGTATTTGTGTAGAGTAGCACATGTATATCTATGCAGGATGTGGAATCTGATTACAATGTCCCGATTGCATTGTACATGTATTTGCAGGCCAGTCCAAATCGGAGAAGGATGACATTGTGGAGGCGCTGGATATACTGAAGGAACGCTCGCTGGCACAGGAGCCCAATGCCCTGTTCGCAATGGTCAACGACTGTTCAAAGGTTGGTGGAGGGGGGGGGGGGGGGGGGTGATATCAGAAGGCACCACATCCCGCAAATACATGTACTACTCACCGTTCCGTATTTGGCCATGCACAATGGGCGTATAGCGGTCATGTGTCTTCAGTGATCGCCCCAATGCACAAAGATGGCCGTGGCTGCATAGTCTGTGCGTAGAACGATTTTTTTACTCAAGTAAATTTCTTTCCGTCTTCAATAGAAGAGTTCATCTTTCACTAATACTATGCTTCGTTTCCTATCCATTCTTCTTTGCTTCGTTATGTATGTGTAGGTGCTTGCGAAGAAAGTACCTTCAGTTCAACTGTCGGAGTTTGTGTTCATTCTCCTGGACGGCCTGATTGATCCGGACGCACAGAGCTCCAGTGGCACGTGTGTTGTTCTCAACAGTCTGATGCGCCAGCGCGGCGGAGAGCTGTCAACAGAGGTGAGTGCCAGTGGGCTCTCTCTTTCTCTCTCTCTCTCTGTCTCTCTCTCTGTCTCTCTCTCTCTGTCTCTCTCTCTCTGTCTCTCTCTCTCGCTGTCTCTCTCTCTCTCTCTCTCTCTCTCTCTCTCTCTCTCTCTCTCTCTCTCTTTCGCTGTCTCTCTGTCTCTCTCTCCCTCCCTCTCTCCCTCCCTCCCTCTCTCCCTCCCTCTCTCCCTCTCCTTCTCTCTCCCCCCCCCCCTGCAACACGGTGTTGTTGCTCTAGTTTACGGTAGACATTGTTGCTTGACTATTTGTGTATGTTCCTTTCTGGCTTTGCTTTCTCTCTGTGCTCTCACCAGGTGGAGAAGTTTGTGAAGAGTGTTCACGAGCGTCTGGGCCGCATCGTGGTGCCGCAGACGCGGACAGGCACCTTGCGCAGCCTGCGCACATTTGCCGGCCACCACTTGATTGCAGTACTGACCACGCTGCTGGAATTCCCACTGCCATACGATCCGTAAGTGATATTAGCAAAGTTCTGTTGATTTCTCGCCGTTGCAAATATGCCGTTCAGTTTGGAATTCATCCAGAGTAACTGCAGCATGCCTTTTCTAGCACACTGGCTTCTCCAGGATGTTTTCTAATCCGACGATGTTCAGTGCTGGCAAGTGAAATCCAGCCCCGAGAGTATACCAATCCCGGGACTGCGCAACCCAACCACTGTGAACAGTGGACTGTGCAGTGAAGCGTGTCTCAATGCTCTCTTCATAGGGTTGGATTTCATTCGCCACTGTAGCATGCGTACAGTTTTGATATTGGCGTGAGCTTGCTTGTGTTGTATTCTCTTTTCTTCTGTTGTATACTCAGATCCATAGTATCCTGCTGGCAAACCCTGGCTGGTGACAAGCAGTTGACCAAGATGATGTTTGAGCACGTGCTAGACCTGCTCACCAACAGCTTGCCGTATAAGGAGAGGGCAGAGCGCGGTGCAGCGCCCGTTTTCCTGCCGGCGCCCGGACCCATGGCGGTGAGTCGCTTGCCACGCCGAGCGTGCTAGTCGACGTAGCTGTGTGCCTGTGCTTTTTGAGTCACTGCATCTTATCATCACGTGGCGTAAACATCCCATACCAGTGTGACATGTGCATTCAACAGATTCTGGATCTGGCGTGGCACTTTAGTCCACGTTGCTGTGCTTCTGTGCTTCTCTGCTTTGTGGCGGCTCTCTGTGTGTCCTGTGCTTCGTAGCGCTCTGTGTGCCCTGTGTTTATGTGTGTCAGGCTTTCTTCAGTGTGCCTTGGAGTGGTCAGTAAGGATACTGTGATCAGGATACGAGTATAGTGTATTCCAATTGGTTTTTTACATTGCATCTGCATGCGCGCTTGTGTGTGTGTGTGTGTGTGTGTGTGTGTGTGTGTGTGTGTGTGTGTTTGTTCGTTTTCTTCTCTTCCCCAGGCCACATGTGCTCTGACGGAGATCTTCCGTACGGACGAGACCGAGGAGGTGGTGCAGTCCATGTTCCATCGCCTGTTCTCGCAGGTCATCCTACGCATCGGCTGTGCCACCGTCATCCGGAAACCCGAACAGGGCAAGAACGCCGCCGCTGTGAGTGACCCGGCCAAGGATGCAGTGGCGTGCCTGCGCGAGCTGCTTGTGCGCACCGAGCTCTCGGAAGTGGTGGCTACTATGGACGAGGCGTTTGCTTTCAACATGCTGGGAGGATTCGACTTTCCGCAGGGCATCACCATACTCGGAAGGTAATTTGAGGCTGAATTTAAAAAAAATGTTTTCGTGACGTGGATCCATGGATGCAGCGAATGAGATTTTCGGTCTTTGACCACTGGTGGTGGTGGGTCTGATCTACTCATCTCCCACTGCTTAGGAGCTGTATCTGCGCCTTGATCCTGTTTCTGCGGATGCGGACACTCAGTCTAACTGAGTCTTTGCTGACTGTGAATTTTTTCATTATCTTTCGTGACATGCCCAACCTAGTGCTGAGGACGAGCTACTAGCTCGGCAATTGTGTTACTCCAAAGTTAGTAGAAACGAAAATCAGCAAAGATGGGGTGGTGCGTATTCGATGTTCATTGTCTGACAGTATCATCTCGTTGCTGCTACTCCACCAAATTGTGGCATTTGTATGGGATTGTAACATGTGTGCGTGTGTGTGCGCATGCGTGTGTGTGTATGTGTGTGTCTGTCTGTCTGTGCACGTGCGTGTGTGTGTGTGTATGTGTGTGCATACATGCACGATTGTGTGTTTGCAGAGCGCTGTGCTTGTCAGCACCAAAGTACGTGGGCCAGGTGGTGACCAGTCTGACCGGCAGCCTGTCTAGCCTTTACGAACAGCACCGCGTGGTCACATGCTCATTCTTTGCTGAGGTGAGCCATCCGCCACTCATCCATGCTGCATGATGTAGGATATGATAGGCGCTGAAACCTTCTGGGTATACAATGTACCAGCTCTATTCTGATTGTGGGTTGTTGGCACTTCTGAATGCTCCTCCGCTGGCTCTCTGCTAGCCTGGGTTGTTGGTGTGTTTGTGTGCCCTGCCCCGTGGGCATGAGGTGCTGGTCTACTCTGTCTCCAGTGCTTCACACCCGTGTGTTGGTGAGAAGTTCTGCCTGTACTGTGTAGGCCCTGTCTTTCACCACACCCGCAGCAAGGCAACAAAGTGCATACTGCAGTTCTGGTTTGTTGGCAGGTCCAACGCATGTGCCAGTGATCAGTGTATCACTGCTTGGCCGAACAACCCTGCACTGCCTGTACTAACTTTAGATGCAACCTTGTTTGATTACCACTGCTGCTGCTGCTCCTGCTGCTGCTGCTGATGCTGATGCCTTTGTCGTTGTCCTATCTGTTGTTTCCCTGTACACGCCTACAGTTGATCAATCAGAAATGCTTGGGAGATATGACTCTGGTGGAGATGCAGATGAACAGCCTGCTGGGACGCCTGATTGACCAGTCTCACATTGTGCGCATGCTGTGTATCCGCGGACTGGGGAACGTCTCGGAGCTAGGGTCCGATCAGGTAAGACACCACCACAGCCGCCGCCATGTTGACCAGTGCACACAGAGAGGGAGGGGAGGGGGGGGGGGCAGTGTATGTTGGGGGTCTCCTGGAGTGCAGTGGGCAGTGTATGTTGGTAGTCTCCTGGAGTGCAATGGGCATGTGACTGCAGAGTTCTCTAAACCCTTGCCAACTGAACACTTGTAGGTCAGAACCGGCAGAGTCTGCAGTCACTGTGTATGACATGACCCAGCGCCTGTGCACGTGCCAGTACATGCACTGATTAGCTGCTGCTGCTTTCTGACTGTTGGGTGTTTGTGCTGTTGTTGCTGCTGTAGGTACACAAGTACTCCACGACTATCCTCTCCGCTATGATGTCGGGTATGGATGACCGGGATGACCCGATGGACTTGATCACGCTGGAGTCCATGTCCGGCCTGTCTAAGATCATCTCGCAGATCGAGGAGGGCCACGTCCGTGCCATTCTCATCAACATTGCGCTGAGAATTCGGCCATGCTTCGAGAAGGTATATTATGACGATCATCCCCCGTAGTCTCTCTCTCTCTCTCTCTCTCTCTCTCTCTCTCTCTCTCTCTCTCTCTCTCTCTCTCTCTCTCTCTCTCTCTCTCTCTTACAAAAATTCTGCGCATTTTTTTCTCCATCTGCGCATAAAATCTAGACTGACAACCTGCTTGTTAAATCATGCACCTGCTTTCAGGCGTAAAAACCCTGTTGTAGAGGTCTCAGTCCTCATTTGTTAGGCTTACCTGTCTTTCTAAATGTACCTTACTCTCTCTCTCTCTCTCTCTCTCTCTCTCTCTCTCTCTCTCTCTCTCTCTCTCTCTCTCTCTCTCTCTCTCTCTCTCTCTCTCTCTCTCTCTCTCTCTCTCTCTCTCACACACACACACACACACACACACACACACACACACACACACACACACACACACACACACACACACACACACACCCTCTCTCTCACTCACTCTCTCTCTCTCATTTCTTCCTTTCATATTTGTTTTCTACTCTGTCTTGTACTGAAGCCTTGTGCATGACCCATGCGCTTGGTTTTGTTTTTGCTTTGTCTATGCTTTGTCTATGCTTAGCCTAAGCCTGAAGTACGTGCTGCAGCTTTCACCTTGTTTGGCAAGCTGTCCAAGTTTGGCGATGGACCATCGCGTGCTCCATTCCTTGAACAGATCCACAACAACTTTATCAGTCTGCTCATGCACATGAACGAGGGTGACATGTCCGTTGTGACGGTGAGTTACTATGGTTACTAGCGTCGAGACTGTGTCTCCCCGGTTCAAGATTCAATCCAATGCGCAGGCAATGGAGCAGTGACTGACATTATAATGGGCATGCCCACGAAGTATTCCCCTGTGAATGTTCAAAGAGCTGTTTCGGAGAAAGAAGTTTCAACAAAGCAATGAATTTGAAGCATTTCAGAATTCTTCTTCACATATTTAAAGGATATTTTGTTCAATTATTTCATCATGGTATTATGTCGGCTTCAATAGTTTTA